AAAATATCTATAAGATATCGTCAATCAGATCTGATAACTTGTTACAAATTTCTTGGAACTCTGAATATATTTTGAGAGTATGAACATATGTGAAGTGATGAAACTATATAATTTATTTTCATTATATCCACACCCACTCTATTTAATTAAATATTTAAAATCTATGGTATTGCATTCATTTGTATTCGTGTGTATTTAGTACGTCAAATAGTGAAAAATTCACGTTGATTTTATAGTTGATCTGTTTGTTTAGTTTGTATAGAATGAAAAAACACAACACAACATTTTCAATCCACGCGTCTCAATTTTTTATTGTGTACAAGAGAATACAAAAATTGTCATGAAGACCGGGATAATTTAAGTTGCATAATAAAGTAGAAAAAAGAAAAGAGAATATATTATATGATTCTGTTTCACAGTGCCTTATATGAATGTGTCGCATACCAGTATGAAATTTAGTTGAGTTTGAAATAGATTTTTTTTGTACTCTAAATTAGTATTACTATTAAGTCTTAAGTTTATATACTTTTTTTTTGTTTTCATGTCAATTTCAAGTATTTTAATTTTTCATTATCTAAAAACTGGGCAGGCATGAAGAATACAGATGTACAAAGTATCATTGAAGTTATCATCCACAATTTATGATGTTCGATTTCTCTCATCAATAAAATGTGTTCTTATACTACTGTCTATAATATCTTTATTTCAAGAATATGAAAGATAATCTCAAAATATAATTTAATGTTGAACTCAATAAAAACTATTTAGTAAAACTATTTTAATACTTGATGTGTATTTTTCATTAATAAACGTTCTCACTAATTATTTAATGAAATCGATTATATACAATGAAATTTATATCACACCTTCAATGTTACCTTTTACATATATACCCTTAATATATGCCCAACAACTAGTTTAATTATAGAGATGCATTGATAAACAAAAAATTTTAGTTACGATTAAATTAGTTGTTATATCAAATTTAAATAAAAATAATATAATTTAATTCTATACTTTCATGTTATTGTTGAATCTCAGAGAAAGAAACAGCGGAAAAAAACTATCAAAATTTGAACAAAGTTAAATTTACAAAAATGCGCATTTTCACTCTTTGCCTGACCAGGTAATTTTGCATAGCTAAACTATATATGAATCAAATGCAACAATTTTTAATTACTGAGTCACATGACATAATCTAATTTCTCTCTAGCTGATAATAGATAGTGCTGTATATTACACCCAAAATAGACAGTTTCTTGTTGAAGATAACTAATGCAAAACAAGTAAACTAGTGGTATGTTAATATTTCTTACATTCAATTGAAAAAAATATATATTCAAAAGACCTTATATTTGAATTTAAAAATCTTGTTTATTTATTTCTGTTTGGTTTTTTTTCTTGATTAAATAAGTTTTAAAAAGTTATTTTCTTTATAACTAGGTTGAAGCAAAGAGTAAAAGAAATAGGAAGAGAAAACTAAGGTCACACTCCATATTAATTTTATAGTTTTAATTGTTAATGTTTTATAATGTTGGGCAGAAATAAGAAACTGGTATTTAGCATCCGCATAAGCCTATGTCATCGAGGGCGACATCGTTTCCGGCGCTGCTAGTACCATTTGATATCATTAATAACATGACCGAAGTGCTTGGTGCTACAAATGATATTCCATATTTATTCCAAGTGAAACTAGCAGAGTCAGGTATATTGCCTGAGTTTCCTTCTGTGATCAATGTATTATCTGATGTGGCAGTTCGAACTTGAAATATTATGTTCGATGGAGACCAACCAGGCTGGTTTAGATTAGCTGCATACGTCGAAAATTCATACATTTTGCCAATGCTTAAGTTATTGATCGTTTTGTTAAAATATAAACCAGGATAGAGTAATGCATTCAATACATACATATATCCACCGGTTTCATTAGCTGTATGGTCTAAGCCTCCAGGAATCCAAAAAAAACAAGCAGGAACTACATTAGCAATAGCAAAATAGCCATCACCCGGACAATCTGAAAACACTTGTGTGTGCTCAGATGTGAAGCCAAAATCAGCAGGAGTTTTGTTAGAATACTGATCAGTACCATATCCGAACGTAGTCAAAAAATTCTGGGTTCCACTAGTTGGATTATTGTTGGGAGTTACTACGAATAGAATAATAACACTAATAAAAGAAAATATTTAGAAAAACATTCAACATACGATTGTTACCAATTGTGCAAAGACATTTGTTTGCTTGATTGTATGTTACTAAAATATAGAAACAAATTCATTCTTAAGAATATAAATGAGAGCGAGGGTAAAGAATATTCTATCTTATCATCTTTTCATTGTACTCTCACCGATTAAAACAATATAACTTAGTTCATCGTGTAAGGTATATGAACGAGGATGCAACATAAGTATCAAAGAAGTGAAGGATAAGATTAAAAAGCACAACCCACTCTTTTTCAATCGAAGTTATAAAGTAGAAAGATTTATACTATTTCAGTAAAATATCTCAGTATCATTTTTATGTTAACTTCTTCTATATTTCACAGAAAGCGTCTCTATAGTGGAAAAGAATAGAATTGTTTTGCTATTCTAAATATGAATCTGGAATATAAAGTGAAAATAACACTCACCGGTTGTTGTCTTAGTTGTTGTGCTAGTTGTTGTGGTAGCTAAAATTCAAAGTATTCATTCTGGTGCATTGAATTGAGCGTTTATGTGTAATGTAAATGATAATACTTTCTTAAACCTCACTGTTACCTACATTCTAACAAGATAATGTTGCATGAACTTATATGATACTACTACGAGTTGCTATCAAAATCAATTACGCCTATACTGACTCTTATCAGTTCTCATAACAACGATAGCCATCAATGTTAGTATGTATTAAAACATGTCAATTTGAAATACTATTGATTAAAAGATTTTCATTAAATTCAATAATATTATTGTTCAGAAATGAATAGACTGAACTATTGCATCTCTTTTATGAGGAGAAATTAATTTGTTTAATATAAAATGGTTACTTTAAATGGAATGTACTATTCAATAAAAAAGAACACTTACAAGTGAGCGAATTGACAAAGTAGCAGAATTGTGCTGAAACTAAACGAATACCACCATTAGCCGTTTGCAGGATGAGCATTATTACAGAAATATAGCGTGATCGAATCATGGTTTTGATATCGGCTATATATTTTGTTTGGCAATCATTAGTTCCGCATACTGTGCTGGGAAACTTTTTGATATTAATTGTAATTGTTAGTATGCCACATTTGTTACTCTTCAAAATTGTTTTATCAATAGCAATATCACATGATAAATTTGCGCTAAAAAACATAAACAATAAAGCGTACACTAAATTCAATGAACTAACCCTGTGTATTGTACCGTTTCGTGTGCATTTGTACTTGAAATGAAACTATTGACTAACGAAACCGATTGAATACGAATATCGTCCGTTAAAAAGCCAAGATATAAGTTCATCTATGTATCGAGAGATTTAATGGATATTTTTTATGATTGAATGAATATTCACTTACTTGATTAATCATTGAATCGTAGCTGGTGATTTGAGTAATGTCGATGTTTGTTAAATCAACACTAAATGCCGTCTGTATCATTGTTCCACCTAAAAAAAAAGCAATCAAAGTTCAAAATAGTACCCGTACAACTGATAGATCTTTATATTACTGTTGAGATTGATAGCCATGCCGGCATTGACTTGTGCTGACAAATATCCAGGAGTAATCGATAAAATGATGGTACTGATAATTAAAATAAGACGACCAAGATAGTCTCTAGAGTTTCCCATATTGACAGTGTTCTAAGAATAATACTATGTAATTATACGTGTATACCAGAGCTTTACAAGAGGATCGTTGTTGATTTTTGAACAATTGAATAACTATAATATGTTATCGTCACACTTTGTTTATCCGTTTTTTTCTCTTTTTCTACAGTACTATTTGCAATATCACTTGAGTATTTATACTCGTTTGCTGCTTATATGTTTTCTTATCATATTTATGATTTAACTGATATTTTTTCGTTCTCTTGTTCCGCTCAAATCATGCATACCAAGGTAATGATGTACATGATGTTGTCATTTTTAGGGAACTGCATGACTACATACTAAAGTAATGATGTACGTAATTTTGTCATTTTTGAGGAAGTGGACGACTGCATTGATAAACGATAATTTTAATAAGTCATAACTCGAAACATGATGATTAATTATTTTTCTACCTTTAATGCTTCCTAGGGCGTTGTTTCTGGGTTTTTTTTAATTTCCATCCCCAAAGTTTACATCACTTTCTATGAGACTCTATTGATTTATAAGAAACTGTCATTAGTTTATGTGTACACTAGTACTTTATGATATCACTATTTGCACATCGGTAGTTATCGTCATTGAAAGTATTATTTCCATGTTCAATTGACCAAATAACAAAAATAAAGAAAAAACTAGTACAACATCAGGTAATCTTTCTTCTCAGATAATCGAAACTTCCAGAGTTTTCAAAGAGTGTGACTTTCGAAATGATAATTAAATGAAGATGCATGACTAAAATTTTATTTTGTATTGATATACATTTATTCTCATGTTAATAATATTCGAATGAGAAAAACCATTGAAAAATAAATAATTATTGAAAAAAAATATTAATATATATATTAAAATAAGATAAACAAGATTTATGTGAAGTTAAAGGTGAAGATTACCATCAGAAAGAAATCATACAAGCAACTGAAGTGTCTAATGATAGTTCACCTACAGGTATATTATCATAATAATCTTCAGGGTGTGTGTGTCTCTTCTTCATCCACACCTATCTCTACGTATTATTTAGTAGACTATATAATATAGCTAATCATCTACTATAATTAATTCATGAAATGATCACATAATTTAAGATGACATTCATTTATTTAGATCAAATACACTTCTTATACGAAAAATAATGTTCAAGACAAAATAACAAAATACTTTAATAGAGAAAATTAAGCAAGATAAGAAGGATAAAATTCTCTTGAACGACCCATAGCTGCATTAGCAATAACTGCACTATTGAAATGCAGAAAAGTATCAACTGGTGCTACCATAGAATAATCTGCTACAATTCGATCTCGAGTAGAGCCTGCTGAACGTAAACATAAATAAATTGGACCAAAGATAAGAAATAAACATGACACCACACATAAAATACGAACAACTAGTGAACTTGAAAATCGACTCATTTTTGATGATGAACGAGCCGCTATTTTATTGTTATTCACAGAAAAAGTCTAGGAAAATGAATATTTACATAAACAATGAAATATTTTATTTTCAATAATAACTTACAACATTAATATGACTTCGATAACCAGTTGAATAAATCAATGCTTTTATTTTATCTTGTAATTCTTGATAATTCCAGCCAACTAATTGTTTTTGGCATGTAATTTCTTTGATATTTTTTTCTGAACGTGTATATTGTTCAACAGCATCTCTCAATGAAACAAATTCACCAGCTTTCATTGCTTTTTTTGATGGAATAACAGCTACACGCCACCATTGTTGTGATATATATTGCGTTGCATCAATAGTAAAATTAAAATCAGTTACATTACGAGTATGATGTACAGGATGTGTGTGTGTATGGCCATCAGCTGAGCGACGTGTTTCATATGTTGTATAATGCTATATATACATATAATAAGTTTATAGAAATCTCCTAAATAGATTTATACTATACCTCAGTATGATAACCATGAATAACAATACCTAAAGCTGGTTTTTCATTAAGATAAGTCATAAAATACAACCATAATTGATCAGGATTTTTCTCAATAAGTGGATCAAATGAAAGAACACCTTCACTTTTACGTTCAACTTCTGCTTTAGATGGTTCAGTATATGCTGGGACTTCATTATAATGCAAAACACCATTGTTAGGTACAATCGATATATCAAAATAATTGGGTGGAAAGTCACTTATATCAGGTGCAGATGGTGGTGGACCTTCACTATAATTTGGCAAGTTTTTATCATCATTTGATGTTGATACATTCACATGTGACTGTGAAGCAGAATCTAAAGGAGCTGACCATCCTTGTGCAGCCGTTACTGGATATTTTCCACCAGAAAAATCTACTGGTGCAACAGTGTTTTGGGCCATCTTGTTTATTAAACTTATTTTTTGCTTGTTTTTATTCGTTTCAAACGTGTGTTTATATAAAAAAATGCTTTAATAAAAGATAAGGTGAGTATATTTACACAAGAAACGTTGACGTCTATTTGATTCATAGACATTGGTCTTTCATCGAAACGATGAAAGATGTCTGACGTAGTTATTTTCGAATATTATCAACATAGATCTTGACGCAGCATAAATATTTGATTCATGATAATAATACTGCAGAACTAAAGAAAAACTATTTTATATTAGAGATCTTGAATTGTTTTTCATTATTTAAATATAATAAAGCGGGTGTATACAACTCTCTGATTTATCATAAATCTTAAGATTACTTTTTCAGATATAAGCTTCATATTGTTATCGTTTTTATTACTAGTAATAAATTTTATAGAATTCTTTTCGTATTTAATCAGACAAATATATCGATCTTTTGTTTAACATATATTTTACATAAAAAAAAAAGATATGTCAGTTGTTCATTATTTTGTCAATGATTCTATATCAATCAATTCTGTGTATATTTATTACTTGATTGATTCATATTTCTTATTGATGAATAAAAACTACTGGTGCAATAGAATGGCGTTATAAATTAAACACAATGCATGAAAAGAAGTATATTCATTTCCTTCATTATAAACTTTCTTCTATTCTATTCACCTGTATACAATTGATTTACATATATAATTGTACTACTGTCATTCATCATTTTATTTTGCTTATATTAAATAGGAAATCAAGAACAACATTTCCGAGGTAGATACAAATGTCATTTTCAGTCATAAAATATAAAATATTACGACGAAGTATATTTATTGTATTATTAATCACTGTAGTTATTTGAAAAATATTGAAGTTGTTGTCAATATCTATCGTCCGTTCTATGCTGTATCAAATGGAGTTATTGTTGTTCAACAGTTGAGTATTCTTGAGATGATTGTCAATTAAGTTTATGTATAAGAAATAATTGAAGCAATAATATTAATGAAAAAGACACGCATATTATTACAAAAGCTATCTTTTAATATGCTTTCCCAATATTAAATGCTAATTTACTTGTTCGCCGTTTTTCAAGGTCTTAAAGAAACAAAATAATTATCAGAGTTCATAATATTCAATTCAAGGTAAATCAGATAATACAACCGCAAATAATTCGAATTCTTAATCAATATGAATGTATTAGAAATGCAACAGAAAATCTTTATTGTGAATTTATTACTTTTTGTTTTAGAAAATATATTTCTTTAAAAATACAATCACTAATTGAAGAATGTCATGAAAATAAAAGAAATAATTGAATAGAATTTTCTTTCAAAATTTACTCATTGTATGTCGTGTGATTACATGTCGATTCTGATAAAGAAACGAGATGAACCGAGTCATTCGAATATTTAATTTTCTTTCCTATAATAAAACTAAAAAATTAATTACTTTTTTAAAAAAGGAAATTACTCTAAAATTCGGAAATATTCTTTGACATGAACATTAAGGCACACAAAAGTTATTACGGTAACATGAATAGTTTTAATTTCCTAATCAATCTTGAGTAAATTTCTTTCTACAAAAAAATGAAATTAGCAATTTAGATTTCAACTGAGAATTACATTTTATAAAGTTCTTCTTCATATCCCATTTTTTTTTCAGATAAAATAATATTCCATTGGATTAACATTCATTCATTATATTATTCTTTTTCACTTGAAAAAAAAAGACATTTAATATATGTATTTCATATACAATGACAGTCACAAGACAAAAATAAAAGAAATAGAATCAGATACATAGATATAAAGAAGTACAACTGACACAAGAGAAACAAATGTATACGCGCGCTTCTTCTCTTTTCCAAATATGTCAACATGATTATCAATGACTTTAAGTAAAAGTTTCATTGTGTCTATTGATTAATTGGACTAGCAGAAGCGTAATCAACTATTCACATAGAATAAATCATTATCGTTCAGGATCGCTTGTATCGGCCGTTAACATTTGATATAAGACTCGATCAGCCATACAACCACGAATGAATTCTTCTTCAGTAATAACTCTATTAATATGACACAAAAGAATTTATATGACAAAGTACTACAAGAAAATTTTACCCATTGTTATCTTCATCCTATTGAAAGAAAAAGAAATAGAACGTTTTATTATATAATAGAAAAATAGAAAAATTTCGTTTTTTTTTATTTACCATAACAGCAAATATTTGTGCCGTTCGACTTTCAGGTGTATCATTTGGATCACGATTTGTAATGGCACCATTTGGTGCATTTTGTGCTGCAGTAGCACCGAGTAAATCATAGATAGACTATAGATAAAATAAAAAGATAATTGTATTTCTTATGACAATACTTCATTTTACTTCAATAATTCTTAACATTTCCTGTCGATCAATACTTCCATTTGAATCAATATCATACATTTTGAAAGCCCATTTAAGTTTCTTTTCAGGATTACCTTTGGCTAGAAAAATCAATCGATATTTTATTTCTTATTATATATATATATTCAATAGAAAATAGGATCATACCTGTAATATTAATTGCCATTAAAAATTCTCTATAAAGAAGAAAAAGAGAAGCAAAATGAACATCACTGTTATTGAATAATTTACGTCATCAATATCCTGAGGCGTGAAGTACAAGAATAAGAAGGACTAATTCCGGACATAAGATGAATAATTGATTAGTACAACAGAATTTGTCTATGTCACTGACGATTGGTAGATTTCATAAACTTATATTAATGAACAACATTAAACGGAAATTGTCAACAATGTGTATTTTAAGAGGAGAGAGAAAGACAGACAGACAGACAGACAGACAGAATAGTGATGTAAATTATTTATTCTAATATTTACAAAAGAAAATCATAAATAAATTCTTACTTAAAATCAATTTTGCCTGAATTATCAGCATCGAATGTACGAAATATATGTGTACAAAATGCTTCAGCTTGTCCATTTGGGAAGAATTGACGATAGACTTGAATGAATTTCTTCTTTGTCAATTCACCATTGGGACAATCAAGCTAAACAAATCAAATCGTAATAAGAAATAAGTCATGAAAAAGAAAGAAAGATTTATTATCATAATAATGACATATATAAGATTAATATCATAAAAAAAAGAAGCAATGTTCATTGTTAGATACGAATGATTTCCTTTCGATAGTAATGATTGTTCGTAGATTCAAATCAAAAATAGTTTTTTTTCCTCAATTTAACGATCATGAGATTTTCATCGAAACACATATTATATTGTGTCGGAGAATCATTAATTTCTTAAGATATATCAAACTACTCATTGACATATGATAATCTATATATATTTATTACCTCTAATAAATGATAGTACAATCAACAACACTTATAATTCCGTTGTTTTGTACAATAAATTCATATTTATCAAACAATAACATCATATATATTTGAAATTTTATTTTACTATACATAGTAGAACATTTATGGAAAATTATTCTTTTTATTTTTGACAATAGCTTATTCGAGTCTTGAAATAAGATATACTCATTGTTTTTATAACAGAGAAAATTCTCGAATATATTATAGATTAAAAACTAATATTTATATCATTACTTGAACAAGAGTATCATATAATAAAATTATATTTGAGTTATTGTTCTCGACTGTTTTTATGACAGAGATTTATATGTCAAGTAATCATTTTTGAAAAGAATCAATACATGTTAGACGAATACTTTATCATATATAATATTTGATTTTCTCAATGTAGAATAAATCAGCATGAAAAATCAAATTATATAGTAAACTAGTAACCAAACAAATTAGTATTTTAATGTAAAGAAAAAAAATTCTATTTGATTTCCGTTTATAGACGGTTAACTTGTTTTCCGTTCGAATGCCAAATGGCAATCATGAAAAAAAAATTTTCTTCTAATATTTCTATTTCTATTGTAATTCAGGAAAAAAAAATAATTTTTTTGTCTTATGATAAGAAATAAATTATACAAGAATATGATTTATTTGTTTTTTTTTTATTATATTCTAATTAGAAATCGAATCAACTATCATCTACTCTCCATGGTAGAATAAGTTTTATTTTTTTATATTATGTATATATATCATATTATTGTCTGTGATCATTCATTCACTCTCTTTGCCTATTGGGATTTAGAGAATACTAACATTATTTGATGAGTACAAATAGCATTAGCAAATCGATCGTTCTTTTATATTTTTTATGTTTTTTTTTTCTGTTTCTTATTCGTCAATTAAAAATCGAATCGTTTTTGCTTTCTGTTATTGTTTCCTGAGTAAAGAAATTCCTGTGACAAGAAATAGTGCAACACTAGCCAAATGAAAATATAATTATATATTTAAATATATTTGCCGTTCTCTATCTATTTCGATAATTCTACTTCTTTCCGCATACATGTTTTACTTGTGTTTAGTACTTTGTTCCTAAACAATCGTTAAACGACGTGATCTACAAGCGACATATCCTGTAGCGGAAAGCCTAGGAGAAAAAAAATCAACTATTCAAAACGTTTAGTTATATTAAATTGCGAAGCGTCATGGGAAATCGAAGAATATAAAAGAAGAAGAAGAAGAGTACGAAAGATAAAGAATAAAAACTACGTTAGTATTTGTTTTTTATTATTAAGAAATTCTTTTCTAATTATTATCTATACATATATATTTAAAAGTAAAGACTCATAGGGATCAACAATCGAAAGAAATCAAAATGTTTGTGCAAGTAATTGAGAAAAAAATATATAAGATTGCAAATAATGTGTGTGTGTCTATGTGTACTTGCGCAATTAACATCTTGACTCGATCCTATTTTTTTTAACAACACACACACACACGTCCTTATAATACATTACTAGCAGCTATTCAACAAGAAATTAATTCAGACTATATTCATCTTTAGATCCAGTCAACTGACAAACTAGCAGGAAAGAATAGCTTTTGTAGTTCGCCTTGCGTGCTCTATCATCAGAGAAGTGAAGCACAATGAGATTAAGAAAGGATGAGTAGAGAGATGTGAGTCCTAAATGATTTGAACATTAACCAGTTACTAATATAGACTCTAACAGGAAAAGCAATTTCACAGTGTCGATGAACCATATGATTGTTTGATGTTTGTGTAAGAAGAAAAAGAAGCTATGTTTTTATCATGTTTTTTATGTACATTTTAATGTTTTTGTTTATATTACTTACGATGAAACCTTCATACCATTCAACAATTTGATCTTTGGTAAATTCAGTATTTTCTTCAAGAAATTCTAAATCGGATTTGGATAATTTTTTTTTAGATGAAACACAGCCCATAATCTTCTTTGTCGTTATTCTTGTCAAAACGATAATAAATGATAAGCATTGCTCAATTAATAAGGAATTGTTCTGAGTATATTGAATTGAAAATCAAATACTGACAGTGTTTTGTTTTCCTTGTGACATTTCAAGTTGTTCCATTTTGAGAAAGCAGGACTAAGTTGTTGATTCTGACTTCTCTCTCTTTCTCACTTTCTCTCGTTTTTTTTTTGGTGCTCTATCTATCTATCTATCTCTAAATATATATATATATCTTTATATATATATGTGTGTGTGTGTTTGGATGATGATTTTCTCTCTTACGCTGTTTTCCTCTTAGCTTTTTTTGAGAAATAGAAAAAAAAAGGAAAAGAGAAAAACCATATAGATGAAACAATATGGAGGTTGAGATAGGCGGAAGACCGAGCTTCTTTTCCATCTTCATCATTACAACCATCACCCAAATTTATAATTCAATTGACAAATACATATATTAGCCGTCGATGTCATCATTCTTCTTATCATCCATCGAGGTTCCATTACTTTCTCATGTAATGATGATGATGATGGCATATACTAACAACGGAAAAACAAAAAGATGCAAATTTTTCGAGTACTAATTCTTTTCTTTTGCTCTTTAAGTTCATATAGAAAAAGAAGATAGATTATCATCTCCCTCAGAACGAGAGGTTTATTATTTCTTTATTTCAAAAGTATCGTTAAGTGCCAAAAGAAAAAAAGAAAAAGAAAAAGACAAAAAAAAAAGAAAATCAATGTTTCATTTAATAATTACATCGAATAATTAGAAGAATATTGACATGTAGTGATCATATTTCTAAGAATTCGAGACAACGAAAAAGAAAAAAAAACAATATATACTAATATTTCAATGAAGAAAAATAATTGTCAAGATCAATTATGTCTACAAATAATTCATTATATGCTAAAATAAGTTTATTATCAAATATCGTGAGAGATTGAATTTGTTTTTGATGATGAGTTGATGAAATTTTTGTTAAATAATTTTCATATGTTAGACAATGTATACAATTTAATTTTTTATCTAAAACAAACCATAATTGTTTGCCAGATTTTGTTATTTTATTTTTATTTGTTGTTGCTGCTGCTGAAAAATTTATTTTCGTATTTGATAAAAATGTTGAAAAAACGGATGTTGCATCTAATGAATTCGTTATAGATAATTTTTTCATAACATTATAATCATGTAATTCATCACAAAATAATAATTGATAACCATTAGAATCAATAATTAAAAATGCTATGATAGATTTTGTTGTTATTGTTAAACCAAGAAAATATTGAATATGTGGATATTTTTGTGTTAAATTTAAATTTGATACTTGATGAAAATTATCTAATGAACATTTTATTAATAGTTGATTATATTCCCTATTGGTATATAAATAATAACAACAATCATCATAAACAGTTGATTGAATTTGATTATTACGTTTTAATGCTGTTTGATAAGATAAATCATGTCTAATTAATAGTAAATCTTTATATAATGTATCATAGAGAAAATATTGTTTATCAAGATTTTCTTTTATTATATCATAAAGAAATATTTTTGAATCTGTTATTATATAGAACAAATTACTTTCAACATAACCAAGAGATTGAATATCACCTAAAGAAAATGAAATATTTTAATGACAAGGTAAAAAGATCTTTCTTTGTTTAGTGTTGAAATGTGATATATAGGTGAAGAATGTCTTGCAATTAAATATCTAACTACATTAGGAACAAACTGCAGCTGATTAAATTCGCTAAAAATAAATGTACATTCCTTTCTTTTAATATTTTGTTGAAATAAGATCTGAAGAATATTATTCTGATAATGAGCAATACATTTTAGTAAAATAGGCAGTAAACACAAAAAGCAATGATAGATGAAGTATTACTTCTTCTACTATGATATATTCTTTTTCTGTTTATAGATTATGATAAGATTAATACAATTCTTAAAGGAATAACGATGAGTTACACGGATATGTATATCATATATTAACAAATCGTGTATGTCTTCAGTTTTGTGTCATACGTTCTAGGTTGCATTAAACTGATTCGAGTGTAGGAACTATATCAAATTGAGTTTTTAAGCAATCAGGACTATATTTGACAAGTGTTCATTAATGAAAAACTCTTATTCATATTTCCGGAAGAGCTCAATGTATATATTCTTATAAAATTACCTTCATCCCAATGAAATTCTTTTGTATCATCTTTTTCTGTATCAAAAACATAAAGTAGGCTTGGAGTATTCATATTATAAAGAAGAACAAATCGTTTATTAGCAGCAGCCAATAAAGCATCATCACATGATACTGTTTGTTTAGGAATTTTTTTGAATGGTACTGTTGTTTTAATTTGTTGTTGTTGTTGTAAATTTTGTGATATATTAGAAAATTTGAATTGATTAGATCTAATTAAAATGATTTAGAACTTTACATATAGTTTAAAATTTGATAACATACGTATTATTTGAATATGTGTCTCGAACCAATTGTGTTATATCAACTTCATTACTTTCGATTGATGAATATTGTTTTGGAATTGATTTTGATTCAAGAGATTCTTTTTTATGTTGAAATGCTTCAATATCAGCTCTATTACTAAAACTTGTAGAATGCACTGGAGTAGGTGCTGATGCTTTAGGTGTTGATGTTGCAGTAAATATTAAACGATTATTATCAGTAGTTGTCATCACAGAATTCACCAATGAAGATGATATCACAGAAGTCTTAGAAAAACGGATTTTTTCAATATTTGGTAATACAGAAGGTCTATATTGGAATGTTGCAGCTATTTGACGTTCATTAATAATTACTGCATCAAGTGCAAGTTCACGATGTAAATTGAATAAATTTTGAAACATTTTAAATAAGCCTAAAAAACGAAGTATTTGGTCTCTCTGTATTAATTACTATTGTGAAATATCGGAGCAAACGGTCACCAAGAAACTTCATGCTATATTACATTTTTCTATTTTAACTTATAGTATCATATAACCGAAAACAAGAACTAAGTCAGTTCATAATAATATATTTACATGTTTTATTTTCTTCATTTGTTTTAAATGCTTCTTGTTCCAAATAATTCAGTTGATTTGTGAATTCGATTGTATCAGATCCGGTTAATGATCGAAATTTTTCATCATTATTATTGTATGAATATATTTGTTCTCTTATAGAAGCAATTATACTATCACATGCTCGTTGATCATCATCGAGTATTTGTTTATACGAATTAAATTTTGAATGAATAAATTGAAGACATGCTTCAGAATCCGAACAAATTATATTTTCATCCATTTAATTCATTATCTAAAATTTATAAAATAGAAAAAAAACGAAACAAAACAAAATCAATTTATTCTTCAGCATTTTTTATTTCATTCTCATCCACTGGTCCTTCAATAAGTTTCAATTGTTCTGAAGTTAGTATTCTTTCATTTTGAATTATTAACTGTTCATTTTGTTCAATAATACGTTTTGAATGAACTAATTCATTTGCTACAAGTTGTGTTACTATTTCATCTTGTGTTTGATAACAAGCATCAATAGATTCAGTAACAAGACGATCAATTGTTGATAAAAGTAAACGTAAACGTAATAATTCATTTTTCATGTCACTTAATAAAATACGTTGTTTTACATATACATCCCAAACTTCTTGTTGAACATTTCCTTGACCCTCTAATCTTTTAAATTCTTCTAAAATTGCAATCATAGTAGACATGTGCGTGCAATAACGTTGGGTTAATTCCGAATAATAATATAGTGTATGTTTAAGAAAAGATGATGAAGATGATAGATTAATCATGGATGATTCACGAATACATTCAAAACCAGTACAATTAATATGTTGATATGGTGTTCGTGGTAAATCAGATGGATTTTCTACATGAATAGGTTTAGATTCTTTAGACGAATGATTGAAAAAAATGGAAGATGCAAGTGCAAAAACTGAAGAATTTAAACGAAATCGAAAACGAAACATTATTTATCTAAAATAAACGTAAAAATATTATATTCTAATTGAATTATACAAGATTTATATAATGATATAGTTGACTTTTTGTTTTATTTAAAAAGAAGGAAGAATCAAATGATGCAAAATTCTAAGAAGGATATTGTTTAACTTTTTATCTATACAAACTTTCATAAATATAAATAACTACTGTTTATACTAGAGGTTTAATTTCTTCTGGTATAGTTAATTTTTTTGTTTCAACCCATGATTGAAGTTGTTTTTTCCTGAAAACAAAAAGAAGCTTTTTAATAATCAATATCAACATAGGAATACGATTACTTACCAAATAGGTCGTTGATCTAATGGTGGAAAACCATCATTTTTTAATAGATGATTTGTAGTAGCGAAAGATCGTACAGCTGTCTAGAAAATTAAAAGATATATATATATTGCTAATTGCTTATGTAAATAAGATGGGTTGCAATTTAAAAGAAAATTATTTACCCAAAAGCGTTTGCATGTTTTATAATTCTCCACTTCCATATCACATTTATGATGATCATCACCATGCATAGTTATACAAGAAGTGGCTATTTCCGATTCCTAAATTATAAAGAAAAAAAAAGCATTTTGTCAGCAAATAGATATACAAATTAAATATATAATCGTTGAATTAGCATAGATTTAAGGAAGCTTTCATCATTCTTATTCAATCGGAAACATTACAATGTTAAGTATATATATATATCATATTCTTTTTAAATGCATTACCATCCTATTTTGCTTATCCAAATAAGATATTTGGCTAAATTTATTCTATATGAATCTAATGAGGTTTTTTTATTTATTCTTATTGACTAACAAATAAAAGAAGTCATTTGCGACTATTTTAATGAATATAACTTACATTACTTTTTGATAGAATTGTTGTACCTGACGGTAGTAACAATTGCTAATATATGCATATAATAGTTTTTGACTGCAGAAATAAAATTTCAGCAGTCATTCTTTCTATAGTAAGACCTTCCCAAAGACCGGAACGAATAAGTACATGTCCAATCGGATTCGATTCGGCACACCTTCTCAAATTTCTGATTCGAACTCGATTCGATTCGACTGCTATGAGTTCATGGTCTTTTCTAAAAAACTTCTCTCTATCCACATATAAACTATCTTCATGAAATTGTTAATGAGCATATGTCAATTTTTTTGTCTGGCCTTTATTTTTTCATATTTATATTATTTTGGTAAATGAAACGAATACTGACATCTTCATTCGATTCGATTCGACGACAATAAAATTCAATTCATTTTCGGTCTCTAAACCGTCCTCATTATTTGACCCCTAGCTTATATAAGGAGTCACATCAAACCTGAACAATATAAGATTTACCTAGTAAATCAAAGTGATATATGAGTGTTTACATACAATGCATTTACTACGAGTAGTTCACATATCTATTCTTAAGATACGATGATTTGGAAGAGATATCTTGTGAATGGACATTCGTTTTTGAAACTTTCCTCCAAATACAAGTATTTTACTTGATTAAAAATTCACTATACTGTAGGAAAAGGCTAGTATGTGTTAGTAATATGAAGGAAGTTTATTTCTACAGTATACTACATACTATTATGATTAAAAAATATCAACAATAAATAAACTCAAATTATTATCTTTTCTGACATGATTTAATTAACATAAAACTTGTTAAATCATTCATATATAGAAAAAGTGGTAATTAGGCTTGCTGCGTTCTCCGTTCTTAGGAATAGAACGAAATATGTGTTCCCTGTTCTCGAGAACGGGAACGGAATATGCGTTTTCCGTTCTCAGGAATGGGGAGCGCAAGATGTGTTTCGATAGCTCAGAACGTGGGAATTCTCACGTTTTGAATTATCAAAAAATATCTTGCGTTCCCCGTTCCTAGGAACGAGAACGGCCATCGGGTCCCATTTCCTAAGAACGGGAACGGTATTCGATTTTCCCTTTTCTAGAAACGAGAACGCGAACGACACTCTCCAGGCAAGAAATGAACCAGGGCGGCCTTACTTCTACTCACGTTCCCCGTTCTTAGGAACGTGAACGTTTCTCGCGTTCCCGTTTCTCGAAACGGAACGGAAACGCAACACCCCTAGTGGTGTTGTATATTCCGTAAAATCAAAACTCTTTTGATTAATCGCTTATAAAATTAATACTCTTTAACTGAGCTTTCACCAGATTAATCATATGAATGAAATACAGAATAGTGTTAATATCGACTTGCAACTTTACGATACTAACACTCTTGAAATTAATCAATGCACTGGCTTATTGTTATTTTCTAATTAAAAGTTAAGTGATTCCTGTCACCTTTGTTTATTGTGAATTAATACTAATATTTCAGCTTTTAGATTAATTAAGCAACTACAAAATAAAAGTACCTCATTGTTTTATTTTCTAAGTTTAAGAAAAAGATTAGAATTTAGTGTTAAAGAAAAATCTATTGATTAATCAAACTAAATTTTTCTTACTTTTAAACAAGGATTAAGTTCTCTTTGTCGATCTTCAAATAATTTCTTTCGTTTATCAGGTGGTAAATCTTGATAACGGAAAGTTCCTGGTTTGTAAGTTATATTTTCTTCCACATCGTCATTATTCGTATTAATAGTTGATGATGACATCTGAAAACGATTTTTCGTATGTCATTTTTGTTTTTTTCGGTTTAACCATGAAGAAATAAACAAACTAATCAAAACACAGATCTTTATCACTTTTATTAATAAACTTCTCAGAAAAAACAAACAATAACAAGAGCAAGCAATGAAACGGCGATTACATATATATATATATTTTTTCACGAAATCTTCTTAAAATATCTTATTAACGATGAAACATATAGAAAACACAGAACAGAGATTAATACGAGCGAAATGCATGCGTACTTCGGAATGTTTAGTTTCTTTCTTTTTTTAGCACCATTATATTGTTTGAAAAACATCTTCATGATCAGCTGCTCGTAATGCAGCTGGCGGTGATAGATCTCGATTATTATGATTTAATTTAGATGGTGTTTTAGGTGAATTGGGTGTACCAGATGCTGAACTAACATTTCCACTAGGATCAAGTATTGCATCTTCATTATCTGATGCAACTGGATCAGTACCAAAATAACGATCACCAAAATTACCCAAACCAGGACATATAAAACCTGACTCTGGATCAAGTTGGGTATCGCATGCTGTTGTTACTATTTTCACTTTTGGAAATGCATAAGCAACAGTTTGAACACCTAAATTTAAAATCAAAAATTAAATTGAAAATAAATTGAAAAAATTAAACCTTGTTTTGAGACTAACAATGACAATAACGCTATTTTATCTTCAGGTACATTATGATCCAATAAAACTCTTATTGCCATTAATGCTGCTGCTCCAGTAGCTAAAATTAAAAAAAATGATATATTTTTATTTTAATTATTAGCGGAGGTACCCGCTGTAAATTCTCTCTTACACAGTTTCCACTGCAAACTCTCTCTCACACAATTGCCACTGTAACATCCCTCACACACGGTCCCCGCTGCAAAATATTTAAATTTCAAGCACTTTCCGTATCCGACCCCATCGCCACTTTTTCTTGTATATACAGAGGTGCGATTGATGGTTTGGTGACGTTCGCTATCACAGAACCATCTGAGTGAAGTTTCAATCACCCCCCCCCTCCCATCCCCGATGACTATGCCAATCGCCGTCAACCTTCCTTGGGACCTAAGGAAGCGTCGTGGAAAGTGTGGTGAGCATAGTTATTACAGGGACTGAATGCATAGCGAACAGAAAATGTACGCTCAGACGGTCTTCCACCGCCTTCGCTACCTTTTTTTTTTACTTTTTGAAATGCTGCAAACCTATTGATCAGTTCTATAGATTGCCTGTAGCAAGCGTAGGATTCATTTTTTTATGGAACAAAGTAGATGTTGACTTTCCCCTGGATGTAGGCATAGTTTCTGGAAAGTTTCATTGCATTTGCTCGTACGGTCTTCGAATGCATAGCGAACACACAAACAGACAAGCATTCATCTTTATATAAATAGATATATTACATTACCAATTGTTGCATCAAGAATAAATACATAAGCATCAGCAATATCACGAGGTAATCGAAGAAAATGAAGCTATTTATATAAGAATAAGAAATCAAAATTATGAAATTTTCTTTTTATTCTACCTCCGGTTCACCGGTTGATGGATTTGTTTGAATTAATATTTTACCAATTTTTGCATCTTTACAAACTTCACTTAATGCAGGCTCTAAACATTCACCGGCTCGAACAATTGATACGCCACAAACCTATGAAATAAAAAAAACGATTCTTAATTGTTTCTTCTACCAATCAAATTTTTAAATTTACAGTAGCATATACATGTTTTTTTCCTTTATATATAAGACCTTGAGGTGTTTCAACTGTAACATCCTAAAAATAATTTTCAAGATTTGTTTTTCTATGATATATTTAGAAACTAAATTACTTCAAATGGTAATAATGAAAGTGCGTATTCAATCAATACTCTCATAAGACGTTTAGAATAGAAAATAAATTCATCACGAACTGTTTGTTTATTTCTAAAATAAATATTGAATATAAAAAAAGAAGCCAAAGAAAGTGTATACCTTATAATTGTATGAAGATATTTTATTTGTGCAGTTTGTTCAACAATATAAAATGTATCAGGCATAAGTAAATCACGCATAGATCCAAGATTATTGACAAGTTCTGTTCTTACATTCACACCACGCTATTTAAATGAAGAAAAAAAACAATTTAATTAAAAATAAAATATTCATTTTATTGAACATACATTTTGAAGCTCACGATTAACATGACGTACAATCAAATCAATAGCTATTTTATTTTCACCACCTTAAACATCAAGAAAAAGCAAATTACTAGATTCAGAAATGAAACCAATACTATATAAAATTCCTATTATATATGAAGACTTAACTACATCGTTTATCAAAAATCTAGAATAATTTCACTTATGTCGTAACCTTGAGTTTTGAATAGTTAAATATAGATTTATGACATTGTTTGTCAACATGAATATAATTTAGATAATTAAATTTTACATACGATACATCGCATTATATAATCACGAAAGATTAAACGGTGTTATTTGACTTACTCTAATAAATTAACTATATGATAAAAGGTCTAGAATGAATATATAAGAGCAGCTGTGAAAACTAAATATGTAAATAATAATGTCATGCATAAAAATGATTGACAACGCCAACGCAATCAATTTATCATATTTTTAGTATCACTCGAAGGTAAAACGTGACATAGCTTCAAAAAAACAGCCTGTGTCAACCAGAAAATTAATTTTAAAAATCAACATTCTAAAAGAATTTTACAATAAATAGCTGATGGACTGGATGAGAGATTATATTTTTAAAAATTTTATACATTCTATATGTTATTTTACAGTGCATTTTAGTCAAAAAAATTCTAACATATTTCATAGAATTCCAAAGATTATGTTCTATTACAAGAAGACTTTTACTCACGCGTGTAATGAATAAAAAATTTAAAAAAGCAAATTTCCACACTTCATTTAATAGTTTAATCTTCGAATGTACGTTTATTTATGCTATTGTTAAAAAATAATTAACTATATCTAAGTAGTTATTTGTAAAGAATGTGCTATTCATATAGTTTTGCCTTTGGGTCTGTATAAAAATAGATCGAAAGAAAAATATTATCTTTCAAGTACAATCTTCTCGGTACTATTTCGTTGTTTTCTATATATTATTTAATACAAAGCATATAAGTCAAGTCAAGTGATTATATTTTACCTCTTGGAACAATTAAATCCGCATAGATCATTGTCGGTGCTATATAATGATCATAAGACGGTTTAACAAAACGTGTATATTGCTGTATAACACCTTCAATATCACGTCCACGTTCGGTTATATCACGTTCAAGACGACGTGCAAGACGAATATCTGCATCGGTATCGACAAATACTTTCATATCAAGTATCTATTTATATTAAAAAAAAGACGAAGTAAATCATTTTTACTTGAAAAACAAAATTTTAATAACAAACTTCAAGAATTTCTTTACTAGCAAATGATAAAATGCCTTCAAAAATGACTACATTAGCACCATATAACACTTTCTATAAGAAGATAAGAAATTAGAATCTGAAAATGATGAATTTATTTATGTTTTTATAATACTTACAGTATGAGATTCACGTGAATGAGTATTAAAATTATATAGCGGGATATCGACCTAGTCGAAAATAGATATCATTGAATAGCTTTTTATCATTTTATCTGTATCGTACTTGTTTACCCATTTTGAGATTTTTCAGTGTTTCAAGTAAGAGATCGAAATCAAATGCATCTGGATGATCAAAATTATAGTTATTTTCACTAGCTTGATGATGTTGGTCTTCACTAAGGACCTTAATTGAGTTGAAAATAAATACTTGCAAAATCTATATTAGTCTTACTTTATAGAATGAATCCATACTTAATAAAGTCACCCACGGTACATTTAATTTTTCAACAATATTTTGTGCGACAGTAGTTTTACCACTTGCACTGCCGCCGCAAATACCAATAACAAAAGCTTCTTTAATTTCACCCGTTGCATTATACCAAGCTGGGCGACCTGTAGTGTTTTTTTTAATTTTTTATTTTAAAATATATGTTTAGATATTGTTGTTTATTGGAATACCTGCTGTGTAAATTGGATTTCGTCCACGAAACGATATACGATCGTCGCCTGAACGACTTGATGTACGTAGGCGTCGACGACGCATTCTTGTAACTGAGGATGTGGTTGACATGGGAGTTGTTGGTGATGTTGGAATGGATGTATTGCCATTTATATGATGTTTCTTTTTCGGAAGAAAACTTACACGACGTTTCGCTAGAGTTGGCGAAATATTTGAATCATTTTGATGAATTTCATCATCTTCGTCTGAATCACTAAAAATAAAATAAATTTACATCTTTCATAAGTTTTTTTATTAGTGTTGGTTGAGAATTTTTCAAACAATTAGATTAATTTGTTAGTAGTAAAAGCTAAAAAAGTTATAATTTAGTTTTTCTCTCACCAATAAATGTTATAATCATCATTTGTTAAATTATACCCATTTATTAAAATTGATTTTTGTCGTTTGCACTTAGTTTCTGCTGACATAAATGTTCTTCAAATAAATATCTATTACTTGGCTGAATCTGTATAACTACTGATATAAAATAAAATACGGACTGCTCACATGTGAATACAAACACTATTCTCTCTCGTTTTTTTTCCTTTTTCTTTCACTTGGTATAATTACATGCATATATATATAATACATATGAAAAAAATCGTAAGTATTTGAGCATGATATATATGCCCTTACTAAACATTAAATAAGCGCGAAGAATAACTGCATGAAGAAGAAAATAGCCTAAAAAACGTGAAATAAACACACACATACACCGTCATTTACATATTTTTTTCTTTCTTTTTCTTGCGTTCTTCCTATCATTAATAAAATATATTTCTAATAGTTATTTTTTAAAAAATTCAAAAAAAATAAAAATAGAACTAAACGTACCTGTCAGTAGTGCCTGAATGCCGTCGATAAGTGCTCATTTTTGAGAAAAGAATCTATCTACGATTAAAATAAATCCCGCTAAGTTAGAGAATTTTTATTTTTGAATTTTCAGTGTTTTTTTTTTTGTTTATGTATGCGTTAATTTTATTTTTATTTTAAACTTTTTGACACATACATAGGAAAACAAAACAATAATAATAATAAATGATGATGAATATTATAATGATTTGTTTTCTTATTCTTATTGTTGAATGTTCTTGTTGATGTGTTTAATAAAGACGTTGTGGTTTACCCATTGAGGATTTAACATAAAGTGCACGAACATTTTGCCAATTTTTTTTCAATAATGAAACAAGAAAGTTAACTGATAAGTTAACATTAGCAGCTAATTCTTCAACACTCATGTTTACATTTCCAACGGCAACAGCTAAACAGATGGTTTTTTTAGCTTGAAATTTAATAGTTGATTTAATTTCTTCAACTTTTTGTGTCAATGAATCGCTGTGTGTAATAGCTGTTGGAAATTTACCAGCTTTATTTAAACCAGGTCCTTAAAAAAACACAACAAATGAATACATTTAATTTGTCGTTTTTTCTTGCAAAAGAAAATTTTCTTACCAAGAATACGAGGAATTTGACGAATAACAACATCGGATGCAAGAAAAGCATCATATTGATGAGAAAGTTTTCGTACAAGTTTTTTGTCCTTGTTTAATTTTTTTAAATCATCAACAGTCATAGCTGGAATACCAGCAGCACGAGCTTCATCACAATGACGTTCATCACCCAAAACACAGACGGTAAATTTTGGTTTGGGGATGTAACGTAAACGAACGGTACCACTGAAACGTTTATCACGTGATGGATCGAAATTTTTTAAAACGACTTGTAATTCAACTGTTTCAACGAATTTACGTTTTTTGGTTTCGTTGGAATAAGTCAAAACATTTTGTGTTGTTTCGTACAACATTTCCTATTTTTAAAATACGATAATCATATGAAGATAATTGTTTTTGGACTTACACGAGTAACTTTCGACGACATGGTGAGATTGCAAGAGTGTTAAAATCGATCTAAAACAAATAGAAATTTTATTCTATTAGATTATTCTGATATCTAAATAATTGTTGTAGCGATGAAAAAAAAAATAAACAAGTAGTATTCAACTGGTGATCCAAGATATACCATTGAACATTTTGGCAAATATGGTTTTGAATATGTAGATTTAATATAAAATTGAATTATTATTTGTTTCAATCTTATTAGGATTTTGAAATGAAATCTTTAAATTAAATATCATTACGGATATAAGTTATTAATGCACTTTAATAGATATTAATTTTGACCAATCAGATCATTGAGTATGAATCTTGTAGGATAAACTAACGACAAGTGTACTTTTACAGAAGATAATTAGCATAGACAGCTGCATCATTAGTTCAGTGTTTTTCTTCATGAATAAAGAGAATCTATTAGAAGGAGCGATGAATTGTATTAAATACAATATTCTGTAGATGGCGAGTTCTATCACCGATATATTTAGAAGTTAAATTGTTCTCCGAAAAAATCAATGATTTTGAAATACTTCTTAAACATCATCTGATAAAGTGTAAAATTCAATAACTAATGCAACTTAACTGTCTAATTCTAACAAAATCTGACTGTGCCGATGAAGTCTAACTAAAAATCGTTATTACTATTCCTGTTGAAAAAACTAGATAGAAAGTCTTTTTTAACTTAAGAAATAATGATTACATAACGTCAATTTTTATAGTTAATAATTCAACATGTATGCAAGATAGACATTATATTTTATCAATGTCGATGATTAGATGCAGCTGTACACTAATAATGTATGATAATTATGAATAGATAAATATACAAATATATATATATATACATCCATTTTCACGCAGTAATTAGACTTATGAAACAGATCAAACCATTGTATGAATGAATCAAAGATTTTCAATATGTCCTATAAAATAGAATCTCTACTCGGCTGTATGGCAGTCTAGCTGACGAGAGATTTTTAATCGATTTTGCACAGTATGTAAACTGATTTATTGAATTTCGAAGTTGACTTGTATATGAAACAATTCGGTGTTATCTAGTTTATCACAAACGATAAAATTGAAGAAAAAGAACATGTGTATAAACACGAAATGTACAATCTTTATTGGCAAAATAAGAAAATCTAGTAAAATTGTTAACTATTTGTGCACAGAAAGAATTTTATTGCTTTACTATTTGATACAGTGTATGACAGTATCTATAACTACATTTGAATTCTTCTACATAGTAAATATCACATGACTGATTGATTCAATAACTTATTACAACTTTATAAAATCTTTTTCAACGTGTCCGCAGATGGTGCTAATGTACAGTATAATGCAGGAAAAAATCATTATTTTCTAAAAAGAATAAAAAAAAATATGAATATTAAAAAAAACAGAAATAGTTGAAAATCTGTTCTAAATATTTTATTTGTTATACTCGAAATCTTTCGTTAATGATAGAACGAATCCTAATGCCATCTAGAAGGTCATTTTGACATATCGTGTTCCGTTTAACCAATATATATAACTACTAGTAAAAATTCTGATTCAAAACTATTTCGTTGCAAGTAATGATTGGCTATATAAATTATATTTTATTTTAACATTGAACGATCATATCAAAATCAATATTAAATATAAACAAAAGTAAAAAATATTAGATCTATTCCAATGTCAGTGGCTGCAGACGTCACTGCTCAAACGCTCAGTGCAGATAATGACAAACCATCGACTGATCAAGAACCACACATCCGTGAACATCCATTTATGAAAGAAGTAAAATTTTATTAATCTTTTTAATTTCTTTAAAAATTATTTGAATTATTGTTGCAGTTTATTACAAGTGGTTTGAGTGTTTCTATTGCAAATGTTGTTACATTACCTAGTAAAAATTGATTTCAATTAACAAATTCATTTTTATTTATTATTTTTATTTATTTTTAGTTGACGTACTAAAAGTACGTTTACAGTTAGCTAATTCTGCTATGACAACATCAGAAAAAACAATGACCTCAGGTCTGATAGAAACAACAAGAAAAATCTATCGTCGCGAAGGTATTAAAGCATTCTATTCTGGTCTTACCCCAGCAATTGTTCGTGGATTATTTTATGGTGGTGTACGACTTGGTATATCTATATAAATGAAAGCAATATTGAGGGGAAAAGAAGTTTGTTTTTATAAATCTAGGTGCTTATGGACCAATAAAAAATATTTTAAAACGTCTTGTTACAGATGATAAACAAGTAGCAATTAAATTACTTCGTAATGTTTCAGCTGGTTCTTTATCAGGTGCAATAGCTGCCATTGCATCAAATCCCGTTGATTTATGTAAAACGAAATTACAAGCCAAAGATTCACCATATACATCATCTATACATGTGATTAAAGATGTTGTTAAACATCATGGAGTTAAAGGTTTATGGGTTGGTACTGTACCAGCTGCTATTCGAACAGGTTAGAATATAAGAACAAAATTCATTCATTTTCTTGAATATTTCATTATTTTAACTTTATCTAGCTGCTCTCACAGCGACACAATGTGTAACTTATGATCATGCAAAACGTTTTTGGAAAGAACTAACCGGTTGGAATGAAGGAATTAGTTTACATTTAGGTGCATCATTAATTACTGGGTTAGTTTTAAAAAAAATATTTTCTTAAAAAACAATGTATTTTAATTATAAATATATAATAGATTGGTTACCACAACAGTTACTGCACCACTTGATATGATTAAAACAACTATGTATGCATCAGGAGATTATGGTGTTGTTGAACTTACAAATAAAATTGTTCATAAAGAAGGTGTGCGAGGATTATTACGAGGATGGACAGCGGCATATGTCAGACTTGGTATGTTAAAATAAAATAAACGATAATAGTTTGAAGTTTTAGAATCATTTATCTTAATATTTTAAACTAAAAAATAAGAGTTGGAAACGTTTCAGTTAATTTATGCATATAAAATTCGAAATACTCGCTTGTCTTTCATGTATATTTACATAGAATAAGAAAATATAAAGAAGACCATGATAGAAAGGTCATGTGCGCCTATCATTTACATGGTGTTTGATTTTCGAAGGTCATCATTATTTAAGTGCTTTGCTTTTGAAATATTCTTATATCGAAATATTTTTCTTTTAATTATATTTTTAGGTCCCCAAACTGTCGTTATATTTCTTGTAATGGAAAAATTACGTCAATTTTCTGGTCTTTCTGCATTATAATAATGTCACAATTCAATCAGGTTTATATTTTTTTTTCTAGTCTATTTATCTTGTATGTTATTTCTATTTCCAATTCTTACGTAGTGCTACATATGTCTTATGCATGTAGAAAAAAACAATCTATTCTTTCTTTATTCTATACTCGTTTAATGAGATTAGTATTTTATATTGTTGAATACATTCCTTAGAAAATGAACTTTTTTTTTAAAACAATTTTTTCTCTTTTAGATATATGTTACTCAATAATATTTAATACACTGAACAATGATAAGATATGTACATTTTATATTCACTGTGTTTTTTTTATTATGACGATGTTGATACCGTCTTTTATTAAAATATATATTCATTGATCTATTTTATTTTTTTGTTGTTATTTAATAATAAGAAGAAATTATATATATATTTTTCTCTATTATAGATCATTTTTATTTATATTTGAGCTTTTCATGCATTTAGTCAAATATATTTTCATTTATTTTTTCATTTGTCTATGGAATAATATATCAGCAAATAATAATGATTTTAATCCTTATGAAGTTCTTGGTTTAGCTCGTAGTGCATCAGATAAAGACATTCGACAAGCATATAAAAAATTAGCAAGACATTGGCATCCTGATAAAAATTCCGAGCCAAATGCTCATGACCAATTCACAAAAATCAATGCAGCTTATGAAGTAAAATTCTGAATATAAAAGAACGAAGAAAATCATTTTTTGCTTTTTAAGATTCTTTCTGATTCAACAAAACGACAAAATTATGATGAGTATGGTACAACAACTCAAGATAGTCATCGTGGTTTTAATACAAATCATTTTCGTGATCCATATGATATCTTTCGAGCACATTTTGGTGGTGATTTTCATTTTTTTCATGAAACACCAACTGGTGCAAAAAAAATCATTCATTCACGAGAATTTCTAGCTAATATTTTACCAAATAGTGATAAAAAACCTTATGTTCTTTTTGGTAGTACAAATTTTTGTTTACATTGTCGTCAACCTTTAGCAATATTTCGTTCATTGGAAAAACAATTCAATGAAGTTGGTATTAGTACCGCAGAATTTAATGTTAATGATCAACGTTTAAGTAATGAATTAGGAATATTTAATAGTCCATCATTATGTGTTATTAGTCAACGTCGTGTTTATCATTTTAATGATCATGGAAAACCAAGTGAATATACAGAAACAAATATCAAAGAATTCGTTAGAAAATCAATACCTATTAAACGACATGTGCAAATAGTAAGATAAATAAGGTCAAGTTAAGTGTGCTCCAAATTTCGAGTTTACGGATATATAAGGTTTCTCGAAAAACTCTACCTAAAAACTGTAATCATCTCTTTTTGATCGCTCGAATAGATACTCTGGACTAGGGACCTGCGGAGTCAACTTTTTTGACCCCGAAACTGGATCCCGGCGGAGTCGGAGGCATAATCAGGTTTCGGAATCCTCCGCAGGTCTCTACTCTGAACTGTGCTGAGTTGACTGGTGATGCTCAAGAGAAAAGAGCACACAGTTACAAGTTATCGAAAACTTGAAATTTGGAGCTCACTTGACTTGATCGATGAATAAATCATATTTTTAAATTTCGAACTCTTCTAATTTCTATTGTTTTTTAGTTAGAAACTGCTGATGATATATTATCATTAATATCATTATATAATCAATCGAATCGAGTTTATGCTATTTTAATAACTAGACAAAAAACAGCAACACTTAAATTTGTTATACCTTGTTTGCAATATATACCGCGAATACAATGTGCTTTATTAAATTCATGTATGTAAAATTGACGAAATTTATCTATTAATATAATTTTGTTGAATAGCTGTGATAATGAATACTCAATTACCACCATTTCTTAAACAAATTTCAACTATGTCTGATACAATTTTATTATTTAAAGAAGATAAAAATCCAGTAGCTGTTATTAAGGATGTAAGTAATTGAATAGAGATTAACAAAATATTTAAATTATTTATTTTAAGAATGATTTCACTTTTTCAAATGTTCAAAAATTATTTGAATCTAATCAACTTTTATACTTACCAACAATTACAAGCTCAAATGTATTCAATTTAGTCTGTCAAATAAATTCTGCTAAGTATGTTATTCAGCTTTGTCGATATTTTGATCATATTCTTTTTGTAGACCTTGCTTTTTAATTATCGGTGATTCGTTTCTCTTCGAACAATATCGTTCATCTTTTCTACATCTTGCTAAACAACTCTTCCAACAATATGGTACACGTATGGCATATCTTGATTCTTCATCAACCAAACAAATAGGTTTTAGTAAAATATTCTCTTCAATTTATCAACCAACTGATAAAAAATTATTCGTAAGTTTTATACTCTTAAAAATAAAAATAATTTTTTTTCTTATAAAATAAAGATTATTGTTATTCGTCGATGGTTTGATGATACAATTGAATTAGTTAATACAGAAGTTGAATTTGATAAAAATTCTTTAGTTGAATTTAAACGTAATAATTTAAATATTATTGCTGATATTGAAGCAAATTTAAAATTATTTTTAACAACACGTTGGCAAAATCCAAAGAAATTTACATTACCAACAATATTTAATTTTGATGAAATTGATGAGGTGAATTTAATTGAATTAATGAAAAAAAAAAATAAATTTATTTATTTTATAGAATATTTTCACGGTACTTATGAATAAAATTCAAGATAAATGGAATTATTGGGTGGAAAGAAATCCAATTCTTCGCTCTTTGTTAGTTGTTTAATAGAAATTTTTGCTAATTGAAAAATATTTTTTTTATTTATAGATCAGGATATGTTTTTACATATCAATTTTGGTTATGTCTTCTTTCAATTCTTGCATATTTATGGTATTCAAAACAAGATTTAGGAAATAATTTAAATAATAATAACAAACAACCTAGAAGATCTTATGCATCTTCTACAAATCGAAAACCAAATGAAGTCTAGTAAGTTTTATAAAAATGAATACGAAATAAAACAAAATTCTATTTTTAGTCGAGAACCTACAAGTACAATAAAATTAAATGAATTTGATCAATCTTTTCTTCAACGTTATGTAAATCCTGGTGCACCAAATGTTATTGTTTTACTTCTTATTGCTGATACACCAAATGATGCATGTATTGGATATTTTAATAAACAAATTAGTTTAATTAATGAGTATGTATTAAGAAAAACTAAAGTTTACCCATAATTCAGATATACTCAATTACTATCTTAATGTTTTTTTTAATGAGAAGTAAAAAATTTGGCTAATTTGCGTAAAGTAAATCTTCTCATTGTAATTTATAAATGAATATAAAGGCTTTTTACTCATTTACTTCGGTCTCGTGCACATGTCACATTTCTTATATATTCCATAAATAATGATGTCAACTAATTATTTTATACAAACATATATTACTTCGCCACAAAAAAAACCTACTCGTTTTTTTTCTCTTCTCTTTCTCAAAAACAAAAAAAATTAATAACATAATCTAGGGATAATATGTTATTAATTTAGTTTCAAGAAAAAAGAAATCTGATAATTCAAGCATATAATATTCTTTCCTTACAGCGGAACTCTTAAAATAGAATCTCGAATAAAATACAATCAAGAAGGAAAAAAAAAGTTCCTATTTATATTTACATTAATAAATATTTCTTTTATTAATTTCAATAATATTTAGTTCTCGAATGATCTTTGCTGTTCTGTATCGTGAACATTCACCACAATGGCTTATTGAACTTTGTTCTAATGTAGAAGACGAACATAATCGTCGATTAGTTCGATTTACGTCATCAACTGTGTTGGCATTGTACATACGAAGAAAATTTTTTGTACCTTATTGGTCATTATCAAATAATGATGAAGTTTTAGATGAAAATGGTGCTTTTATTGGAATGGATAATCATCATTATCGTTCATCATCAACATCATCAACAGATTCTATAGCATCAACTACGGATTCATTATCATTTCCTGATTGGATTGATCTTCTATTCGATGGCAATATTAGAAGACCTATGTCTGTAACAGATTGGCCGATGATATTTCGTTAAACTTCTTGTCTTCTTTTTTTTCCTGTACTCTAGTCATTGCTCTAATCGTTTTGTACTGTATATGGTTGCTATTGCTACTGCTGCTTATCTCTCATGCTGTGTTTCATCAATTAGGCTCTCTATATGTGTATGTTCTGTATGTTATTTCTCGTTTTCTATCTGGTGAAAGGTGATAGTCCACAGCAGTAGTACTCATCCTTTACCGATCAATCTAACGCGATAATAAGCCAGCCTATGGTGCTCTTGGCAGGCGATGACATTGAAAGTGTTCGTTTTTCTTCCTTTTTTTTTCTTGCCATAGTTTATTTGTATTTTTCTTTTTCTTACTATTTATTCTATTGCAAACAAGAGAAAAAAGAATGAGTAAATCAATGAATGCTCGATTGCATTTCAATTAGACTATGTATGTATGTATGTGTGTATGTGTGTGTGTGTGTGTGATGACAAGAGAAAAAGATCCAATATCCTCTTCTTTCATTATTCTGGAATGTGTTGTCGTGCAGCTTTAATGAGAACGAATATGAACATGCAGAGATGAGATGAATGAACAATGGTAGAATACATATATATATATATATATATATATATATATACAAAGAATAGTCTACTTTAACAGTTCCCCCAGGTATGTATTCAAGTGTATATGTGAGCACCTCATAATAATCAATCATGTACTTCAATGCGAAGTGTAATGCTCACATAATGTCCATTGAATCAAAGCTAATTTTGCTCTCTCATTCTCAGTATCATGATGTATAAATATATAAAGAATATAGATTAATATTCTACGATCTATTCGTTCTAGATCTTCGTGTTATCTTTTAATGATCTATTCAAATTGTTCTTTTCTATGTATGCCATCATTAGATTGTTATAAATTAAATACTAATCTGAGTCAACTTTAATACATTCATATAGAAATCGTTTTTAATCAAATTTTGGTTGATTGATTAAGAATCTGGAGAGAATATCGATTAGCAAATAACATTCTTTTTATATGTATATTGACAACATGAATAATGGCTTGCGGCTACTCCTGCTTCTTTCTATGTAAAAAAAGCAAAAAGAAGAAAGAGATCTGTCGTTGCATAGCGAACGAAACATTTTCTCCTGTTCTTTCTTTTTTTTCTTTCTTCCTCAATCTTCTTTTTTTTCTTCTTTTTTTTCCTTCTCAAACCGCCACACCGCTCAGCTGTTCTGTTTGTGCTCGCACACACGCACGCACAAGTAACATCGTCCTTTTCGTCGTCGTCTTTACGCGTTTCTTATTTTTCATCCATCTATCCATCTACTGCGCACTACCCACGAACAACAAAATAAACACAAATAACAATAATCTCTTTGGTACTGTGTCTATATTTTTTTCCTAAATAAAAAAAAATGATTCCATGACGATTAATAATAATAAGTAATCAGCCTACAATAACGAAGGTTAGTTGTTATTCTATTACAAATATCAATATTAATCACCCATACAAAACGATCCAGTCAAACTCATTAATTATAGAAAAGAAAAAGAAAGCTGACAGGCACCAGGTTGCTTTCTTCTCATCTCTGCTTCATTCCCCCCCCCTCTCCCGTCCTCTCTTTCTTCATCTACCTCTCCGTCTATGTTCGCTCTTCCCTCTTGCAAGTAACATTGCTCTATGAATAATGCATGAGTTGTTTTGTCACCAGTAGCAGTAATGTTGTCGGCATGCACCCAAAAATAAACGAGAGAACTCGTTTGCAAGCGAGAAATTGTGCTTGATTATGCTGATTACACGGTACCTATTTTCTTAATCAATATTAGTATATATATATATGCATATATTGAGTAAAACTGATGGCGATCACTTTACAATCATTATTAATAATGACAGGAATCATTGAAAATAGTTAAAATAGGTAGACGAGAAAAAAAGAAATAATAATAATAATAATAATAACAACAACAACAACAACGGTGACGACGACGATAGCAAGGTAGATATTTGCGTGTGTTATTCTGAAAACGAGACTATCGACATTTACATCATTTGACAAATTAATAAGAACATGCGAGTAACCGTCCTCGATGAAGAAAAAGACCTAGAGGGTGTATATATATATATGTATATACGTGTGAGAAAGAAAAGAAAAAAAACGACGACATTTAGAAAATCGACATTATATTATATTTATCTATATATTTATGTATATATATATATACATATATGAGTTTGCTAGTTGCAAGCCAATAGTGATATACTTGAGAGTAAGAAGAAAAAAAAGGAAGAGTAGTGACTAAAATAAGTGATTGATGAAAATAATAATCAATAGATTGAACACGTCTGTTTGTCAATTGATCATTTTTTATTTTCTTTTCACTTTAATGTGTTCGTGTTTCTCATCAGTCAATTCATTTATCCATTACCATCTGGCCGGAAACGATCATCTTTCTCCTTCTTTAACAAAAAAAAATGAGAGGAAACGACGCACGTCCTATATCGCTTGAGGAAAGTAAAAGAAGTTCTTTTCATTTTTTTCTTCGTCGTCTTCTTTAATAATGACCATGACATTCAAATTTGATTGAGAGATCTCGTTCTCTTTCTCGTTCTCTTAGTTAAATATCTTTTACAAAAAGGATTAGTCACATCTTTCTATGTATATATAAAAAGCTTCGAGTGATGTGCTTCACCTGTACATGTAAAAAATTATCATACATACACAATAAAAAAATGAGAAGAAAGACTCTTTCTCTGTTGTCGTTCTCTCATTTTCTCTTTTGCGTGCATGTGTGTGTGTGTATGTGTTCACGCTCTTCTGTGAAATTGATATCGGGGTCAGTGCAATGACGGCACACATACAGAACGTCAGCATGCACACATAGAAAAATCTGCTGCATCTTTTTTTCTCTCATTCTCTCGTTTCTTTTTTCCTCTCTCCCTCTCTCTCTCTCTCTCTCTACCACTATTGCCATTCACTCCTCTTCAACTATAACAGAAGCAACAACACAATTATTTCCTATAGAAATGATTTTATCTTAACAAAAAAAAAATCTTTCTTTAGATGAATAATCTTCATCATCCAACAACACGCAGTTCAGGTACAGCATTAAATGAATCAATGAAAAAAACTCCATCACCTCGTCGTCAAACGACACGTTCAACGTCTAATATAAATAAAGATAATTTATCTTCCACAAATATTCAAGTTATTAAACCGGTTGCTGTACGTCCACCCTCATCAGATTCGACACAAACTTCATATAATTTACGTTCACGTACGAAATTAAAAACAACAAATTCAAATCATACAACAGAAGTTATACCATCATTTACAGAAAAACTTTCATTAGACACACCACAACAAAAACCGGTGCCACCATTAACTCGTGCTGCTGCTGCATCGGCCGGTGTTAAAATTGATTTATTTATGTGTGATGAATCAATAAAAACTAGTAGTAATCATAATAATAAAATCCCAATAAATTCTCAACAATCAACACGTTCGAGTACAACTCGAAAACGAAAAGCAAGCGAAGATGATCATAGACCTTATTTAGATTTACTTAAAATGAAACAGGTATTTATTTCAATTTATTTCTCCCTTTACTTAATATTATTGATTAGCATGATTATTATTATTTTTTTCGAGATAACTTAATGTCTTGTTTTTTCATATGTAGTACATTTGTCAATAATAACATATATATCATTTGATTTGACTCCTATTTTTTTCTCTTCCTCTCTCTATGAGAAAGAATGTTGACAGCTCTCCTCTTTTTTTTTCAAAAAAGGGTAGTCGAATATTCTCGTTCGTTCGTTCGTTCGTTCGTTCTTTTTTAATTTATATAATTCGAATAAGAATAATGATCAATTACATCATAGATATACTGACATTTCATGTCTTGAGATATGTAACTGATTTGAATCATTTGTCATATTTTGTTATTTTTCTTGTCTCGTTTACTTTTAGACTCAATCAACATACAGTTTTGATGGCAATTCACCGAAAAAGGTATGTTTAAAGTATATTGCTACCATAATAAGTTAAGAGCAATGATCATCAAAAAGAAAAAAAAAATTTGTTCGATCAATCTATCGTCCCTCCTCTTTCTTCGTTGTCGTTGTGTCGTTGTCGTTCTCTTTTCCCTAAGTGAATGAAAAGGCAAAAGCATAGAAATAAATTGAGTTGTATGTTTATATGTGCGCTCTGTTGAGCTGCATACAAAATGTGATTGACAATCGCACCTGTTCACCTTTTTTTTCTCTTCTTATAACAAGTATAAAAAAAATCGATTAAGATTTTTAATATTTGACTGACTAATTGAACAAGAATAAAAGATATTAGGTTTCTTTCGTTATTTCTTCTTACTTAATTAGAATACTATAAATGTGCATGTAACACATTGTTTGACTTGAAAACTACTAATTTGCACGCTCGGTCAAATTCACTATGGAATCTATCAGAATAATGGAATACGACTACTGAATTGAAGCATCTCTGATTGTCTGTTGCACTCTCTTTTCATTTCCGCTCATTTTTTTTTTCTTCTTCTTCTTTTCTATAGATGACAAGACGTGCCGATCAAGACTGTATTGGATGCGATGATGAAGATAGCGGATGCGATTATGATTCTCCAGGTCATTCTCCGGTCGACTTCACTGATGTTCCTCCCGGTCATGTACTTCACTTTGAAGAATCAAATATGTCATATGATTCAGGTTTTAGTACAGGATCTGGTGAGGCAAATAATCAACAACGTTTATCTGAACATAGTCATTCATCGTATTCATTAGAATTAAATAACAGTGGAATTTTAACACGTAGTAGTACAATAAATTGTAGCAAATATCCTGCAGCTATTGATCTTGATGTTAATGCTATTGAAGGAGACCTTGGTTTCTAGTTTTCTCTGTTTTGTTTTGTTTTGTTTTTCAACTTATAACGAATACCAATTGTATTACTACATCCGTTTTCTTCTTCTTCATCTTCTTCTTTTTTATGTTGTTATTGTTGTTCACATCATGATCATCACTCTATGCGTGCCATGTTTACCATTTTGTCTTGCTTCTTTCTCGCTGTCAGATGTGTGTTGGATTTAAACATGGTTGTCATTTCTTTTTTGTTTTCTTCATCAAATTGCGCCATTGTGTATTTATATACTCACACTATTTGTACGGCTCTTTTCTCTTAAACTCCTCGTCGTTTGTCGTCCCGTCAGTCGTTTTTCTTGTCTCGTGGTGGCGCATTTTCTTCTTCTTTCATTTCTCGTTAGACTATAATTTAAAACAAATATGATCTACGTCCGGTTCAATCAATGCTCTTTTTTTTTTCTTTGTAAAGAAGATCAACGGCATTGATTAACGTATTATATTCATTAATATGCCATTCCTTGAAAAATATCTTCGCCTTTCTTTTGTTTTGTTTCTATTAATTTCCTTAAAATAGTCACACACTGTGTGTTCTTGACGGTTGCCATTTTTGTTCGGCTTTACAGGATTAGTTTATATATATATATATATATATATATATACATACCCATAAAAAGCTGCCTTCATTTTTCTTCTGTTTTTTTTTTCGGTGGATTAAAAAGGATTCTTTTTTTTTTGTTCGTATATAATGCATAAAAAATAGACGAAGATTAAATGATAAAATGTAAAGTTAAGATTCTTTTATTTGTGCTATATAGGTCATTATGTTTTGAATGAAACAAAAATGAATTCGAATAAAATCTAAATGTATAAATTATAAACTAGACTATTTTATATATTTACAATTAACATAAAAACTCTAGGTATATATATATTAGTTTTTTTTCTTCTAATAAAAAATTATATATGAAAAGTAGTCTGAAGAATAACATATTAGCAAAATATGCGTGATGAATTGTTTTTTTCTCGAATAGCAAATAAACTTTTTCTTTTATTAATAAATAAGTACAAAGGTAAGTTTTTTTTTGATCTTTATATATTGACAGTAAATGAAGTTTTCATACAATAATGTATATTTATATGCCGGAAGTCATCTGTTCACATAGAATGATGTGTCTAGACTGCTTATATACTTACCAAATTTAACGATGACAATATATATATATATATGAAGCTACTGCGCAAGACAGTTTCTAAAACAGATTTATTCTTTTTTTTCAAAATTAATGATATTAATAAGTATTTTGTTTGTATCGGATCATATATTTTTAAGAAGAAACATGTATGATTATAATTAAGTATTCTTGTATAATCCTTATTTAATATTATTTTACATTAATTAAAAACTTCTTTATATCACAGTTGTTTACATCTAATCTAATTATATAAATATATAATAACAGAAAAAAACGAGGGGCATAGATGTTTTTCTTTTCACAAAACATCTTTGCAGAAAAACCCGTTTAGTTTAAATTGAAGAAAGAGACGAAAAAAATACATCGATATGCACAAGAAAATGTCTTTCAGATTGTTACAAAATTTCAGTATTTTCTTGGGCACCTTTTTTTTTTAATAAAAAAAACAAAACAAAAGGAATTGCACAACAATGCGTAAAAGAAAAATGATTTCAATTTATTATCATGATAATGGCATTATCCTCACTAAAGTCGATGTTGGTGATGGTGATAAATTAAAATTTGACATATATTGTCGAGCATTTGATTCAGCACGAGCAATTAATAATTGAATTTCATCATTACGATCACGATCTTCTCTAAAATATTTGTAAACGAAATAGTTTAAATTCACTTTATAATGAAAATTTACTTGAATTTCAAGAGAGTCTAAGTATTTATTACTTTCATTTTAATTATATTCGAGAGTATTTTACAATAAATCATTTGAGTTCTACTTAGAAATATGAAGTATTCTTTTCATATGAATGTAATTTAAATATTTCTATAGGAACAAAAAATAAATAATAGATTCTTATATGATCGAAATCGTTCTAGATATTCAAGTGAATTGTGCATAATATATAGAATGTTATCTGCACTTTAAATAATGAATCATCACCGATTCCTGTTATTAATAAATAAATCGAAACAATATTTTTTGTTATGTTAATATTCTAATCTATCATCTTAGTATTGATTCAACATAAATGTATCAATATTATTATTATTATGAATGTCTTGTAATAATCTAACAGATGTTTTTTTAGAGAAAAGTTAAAACTTTACATTGTTTATGTACATGATCAAATAAAGTGTTACTTTATATCTCTTCTAATACACTAATAAAAATATCTTTTTATTTTTTAACTTGTAGAACTTTTATATTAGTTTATTATGAGAACATACATTATAAATGTAATGAAGATTAAGAGATCTGATAATTTCCAGGTATAAATGTTTATATATCATGACAACTAGAAAGCATTTGTTAAATTTATGAAAGAAAAAACTATATTTTTATATTTGACAGCAAATTTATTATACACTAACAAACATGACAATGTCAATGTAGAATATAATGAAACTCTTATCAACACAGATTATACTGATTTTGACATGTTAATCATATATTTCTATTGCATATACAAAAGTATTACTTTCTTACGCTTAAATTTCTATACTTCTGCTGATATTCTATGTTACAAATATATCGGAGCTACAATTAGGTTTAGATATAGATTGATTTTAGAAAGATTTGTAAATTTATGACTTAGGATTATATATGAATTAGTTTTTTTTAAATAAATTACCGTCGATCATCTTGTGTTCTCTTTCGCATCTGACTCATTATATCTCGAAGATCTGTATTTTCTTCTTCAAGTATTTTCATTTGAACTTGTAATGATTCTTTACTAGTTTTTTCATGCAGAAATTTTCGTTCATATTCGTTGATCTAATCAGAATGAAATTGTATATACATAAATGGATTAAGAAGAACAAATTTTCATACTTTCATTCTTAATTCTTCAATACGATTTGATGAATCAATTGTACCACCATCAAGATTAATAACATCAGTTCTAAAGTCAATAAATAAATAAAGAAAAAGCTAAATACAAAACAATTAGTATACCGTCGAACTGTTATATTTTCTAGTATCTGACTACGTCGTATATGTTCTAATTCTTCTTCGAGTAGACGATTTCTAATAGATATTAAAGTTCATATTATGTATTAAATTGATATTTTACACATACCTATCCTCAAGTTCATTTAATCTTTTATATTCATTTGATATTTTTTCTTCCGCTGATTGTCGTTCAAGGAACATTTCTCGACTTTTGTATTGTGTATCTTGTATTAATTTATCTTTTTCATAAATAACTTCTTTTTTATGTGTTAATTCATTTTTAAGTCGTTCAATTTCATGTTGTAATTGTTCAGTACGATATTGTGCTTCACGTCTTTCACGATCCGTTTGTTCCCTAAATAAAATTTTCAAGTTATTTAAATTACAAACAAAAAATAAAGTTATTCTTTAACGTAGGTATGAATGAATGAGTGTGGGTATGAGTATGGGTGGGTGCGGATGTGGGTGTGAGTATGGATGCGAGCGGATGTGGGTATAGGGCGACTGAATGTGGGTGTGGATGTGAATGTGAGTATGGGTGGGTACGGATATGGGTGGGCGGTTGAGTATGGGTGTGGGTGTGGGTGTGGATGAGAGTATGGGTGAGTGCGGATGTATGGGGTATGGGTGTGGATGTGGGTGTAAGTGGGTGGCTGAGTGTGAAAGTGGGTGTAGGTGGGTGGCTGAGTGTGAATGTGGGTGGGTGGCTGAGTGTGAATGTAGGTGTAGGTGGGTGGCTGAGTGTGGGTATGGGTGTCGATGTTTACTAAAGGAAGAGATACCCACACTCTCTACGAATTTTTATCAGTTTAAAATATTTTTCACTTACAAACGTGATTTAATTGTATTCATTTTATCTTTATATTTCGCTGTTACACTCGCAACATTTTGTGAAAGATGATCAGATTTTCCATTAATTTCTAGCTGAAAACAAAAAATGAGAAAATCAAAAAGATTTCATAAGAAAATAATATCATAATTAAAAAAATAATTTTGCATTCAAGCGTGTTCAACATGCTTCGTTAGTACATAAATATATATATATATATAGGGAATATGTGTGATTTTTAAGAAAAAGTAAAGCAATTTAAAAATTATATAAAAAGTCAATTGTGTTTTGATTTTTTTTATCAATACACAACTAAAACAAAATAAATACTATATAAATATTTTATTCTTTCGAATAGAACTTTATGTGTAAAGTTTTGTTCGAGAGAAAAAGTGAAATTCTCTATGATTTGTTTTTAATCTAATAAAAAATAAGAAAAACAATATCATTATTCAGTTAACTTTTTTATTTTCCTTTGTTTTTATATAAGTTATATTTAACGATCATTAAGAACGAAAATATATAATGTGAATAAAACGAAAAAGAAAAATTATAAATATAAGTTTTGTTTTAAGTTTTTAATAATAATGGACCTGTGATGGGTGATAAAAAGCACTAGATTGTGCTTGTGGATAGTTCGTCTAGAATACACAGGGATTTAAGTAGACGAGTTGAATGATGTGAATTTTAAAAAAAAAAGTTTTCAAAAACTAGTTTTGATAAATATATAAGTGATTCATTCTAGTGAATATAGAAGAATAAAGAAAACAACAAACAATACCAGTTTCTTGCGTAGCTGAACTAGTCGAGTCATAGAATAATATGTTCGCGAATATAGAAATTGTATAAAAAACATAGAAAAAAATTTCGTTTTTAATACATACCTTTTCTTTTTCAAGTTGTTCACAACGACGTAAAGTTTGTTCAAGTACAACTTGTACACGTTCAAGTTGAAGTGTTGCAGCTGTAACACGTTCACATACATCTTCATATTTTATTTTAAGTGATATTAAATCTTTTTCAAGTTGAGTAGAACGTCGACGTTCATGTTCTAATTCCGATGAATCATTTGGAATAGTACTTGAATCAAGCTAACGAAAAAAAAAAGTTTTATTTCAATTTTTCTATACTTATTTTCAAGATCAAATAAACATTTGAAATATATGTCTCAATAAAAATCAAAAACTGTTGATTTTTTAATCCAATATAAAAAAATTGGAAAAACGATATGTCCATATTTAGTGAGATTACATAATACGGCAATATGAGAAGATTTTTATGATTTCATGAAATAGTAGAGCGATACTGCTGTACTTAACAATAGTTGATGATACAACTCAAGTATGAATATTAGTGTAATCGATACGATGATATTTGAGTAATTTCTCAAGTAAAACAAATTTCATAATCTTGCTTATAAACAAAATCAGGAGTTATATAGGAAGTCATACTTTTTCAGAATAGACTATATAAGATTTCGTGAGTACATAATAACCCATTTTAATAAGTATACTGATTTACTATCATAATTAAACGAAAGTAGGGGTGAGAAATTCCATTTTACACCGGCACAGTGTGCATTGAAGATCGACTTTTACTGATGTCCTCGACATATCTATACTGGTGCTACAGTGGGCTCATTGACAGTTTCTCAGTAATTCCCTCGATATTGCTCACCCTTAAACTAAAGTCTACAAAGAAACTTTTTCCATCTATTTGTTATCTTTTAAAACAACTCAAACTAAATATTCTTACTGTATTTTGTTCATGTAATTGTTTTCTTGCATTATCCAATTCAAATTTGATAGTATTCGAATATTGAAGTAATTCATTATACTGTTCGCGTAATAATGAAAGTTCATTTTCAAGTTGAATTGTATTATTCTAATAAAAAATTTATTTATGAAAACGAAACTAATTTTGTTATACATACTCCTCTAATTTCGAAATTTTTTTCGTGTCTACAATGACAAAACAAATAATGTTATAAACAAACTTTTTATTTAATACTTTGATATTTCATTATCATCCATAAATTCATCCGGTAATTGTTTCATAGCTTCATTTAATCGTCGATTACATGTTAAAATATGTTGACGTAAAACATCACATTTTAATTTAAGTCTTTCAATATTAAATTTAACAGTTTCATCGGAATGTTCAAACTAAAGAATTTTATTTTTAAAAATAACTCAAATGATTTATTTTACTTTTTGTTCAAGACCAACAATTTTATTTTCAGTTATTTCAAGTTCATGTCGAACACGATGTAATTCACGTTCAAGTGAACGTTGTTCAATAATACTAAATAATTGTGTTACATCAGGATTTGATGAATGTTGAGATCTATCCATCTGATATTAAAATCAAAGTTAAGAAAAAATCAAACAAAATCTATTTCATTATTTCTATTTTTGCTCAAAAAAAGAACTTTCGATTCATGTTTTCGATATTGTTCTTTATTGAGCATTTTACTTAATAAGAAGATAGAACGAATCTTATAGTCTACACTTACTTCTCTAGTTGAATTATAACTCTAGAATTTAGTGATTTATATTTTTTAAATTAAGTGTTTTTTTATTTTAATTTGATTAGTTTTTCTTTTTCAAGAAAGAAATTCTTACTATATATCGAAGAAGATCATTTTCTTCTTGTTGAAATGAAGATTTTAATTGAAGTTCTTGTAATTTAGCATCAGAATGTCGCATTTGATCAATAGCTGTTTGAATAACTGATGATGGAGATGATCCACCATATTGATCTAATTTTTCATTTAGTAATGTAAATGTATATTCAAGTCTAGCACGAAGAGTTTCTAATTCACGTTGTAATGCAACATTTTCTTGCATAAATTTTTGTGCAAGAAGATCATGATTTCCTTTAAAAAAAAAGAAAATGATTGAGTAGTCAATTATTTTCTACTAAATGATTCTTTCAATAGCCTTTATTATATATCTATTACCAAATCAATAGATCAATGTCATACATATCACTAATTTTCCTTATTTGATCCTATACAAAAAAAGATCAATTCAAATCTCATTAGTGATGACTCATTTGGACGAGTAGAAAATTAAGAATTAGGACTATCTATCTGTTTTTACTCGAGGGTAGTGAGGAAATTTTTGAAAGATAGTTTGGACGGAAGAGTTCCTTGTATAATTTCGGTCAAGTTAAGTAAGCTCTGAATTAGGAGTTTACGTGTTTCAAGTTTTTCGACAAATTGTAGCTTGTAACTATGTGCTTTTTTTTCTTGAGCGTCACCAGTCGACTCAGTAGAGTCCAGAGTATTTATTAGAGCAATCAAAAACAGATCATTGCAGTATTCAGGTAGAGTTTTTCGTGAATACTTAGACATCCGTAAACTTCAAATTTTGAAAAATCGGTCTAGATAGATCTCATTGCGTTTGTGTAAAGGCTACATGTTACTTTCACACAAGATTGTGAAAAGAATTATCCACTCTACAATATCATCAAATTGAATGATTTTTACACAGGGACCTGCGTAGGTCTCAAATATCTATTTATTCATCATTTACATCAGTTCTTCACGGCGTTCAAAGATTCCCTCACTATTCTCAAAAGAAAACAGGTACATAATTTCTAAACTTTGGTTCTAATCCTTCGTTTTTCCTATATGAAAGAAATTCTTTTCTACCTGTTGCATGTGTAATATCTCTAATATGATCTGTATATTCAGCTGGTGGTGCACATGTTTGATCAATAATATGTATTAATCGACTAATTTGTTCATTTTTTTCCATGATAATTTTATCTAATTGTCGATGAAATTCACTTTCAAGAAAACGATTTTGATTTTCAAGCATTATTGTTTGTTCACGAAGATGATGAACATCACGATCAGCATAATTAATCATTTCACGTATTTGCTAAAAACAAATCATCAATGATAATAATCTTAAGTATTTTTTTTAGAAGGATTAAACAAACTTTCATTCCATTTAAAAAATCTTGATCATCTAAATCAAGATCTTGCAATAAATGTCTATATCGTTGTAAAATCGATATCATTGTTTGTCCTTTTAACCATAATTTCATAATAATTTCACGTTCTTGTCCTTCATGTAAATGAAATTCACGTTCAATAGCACTCATCACATCTTGATAAGAAAGAAGACCCTAAAATCGAAATAAAAACTTATCTATTTTTCTTTTTAAAATACCTATCAAATTCCTTTAGATTTTATTTATATAGTAAGAAAAACAAGAATTATTAGTACTTATCATTATTTATTTATCCTCACACTTTAATGTCATCAAACTATGTCATTAATATGAGACAAAGATTTTTCTTTTTCAAATGTGTTTATACATACTTTTAAACTAACAGACGATGGATAGACAGTTACTTCAGCTGTTTCAGATAGACGAGGTGATGTAAGATCTCGTGGAAGTGGAGGAGGAGAATAAGACGTTGTTGGTGATGTGATTGATGGAGGTGATAATGGTGTTGATATAAGATTTGTTACACCCATTTCACTAGGATTTGATGTTGAAGATGAATGGGATGGAGGTGAAAGAAGTGGATTTTGTCGAACAAATTTTTCCATAATTGATATCGGAAACTTTGTTTTATCGATAATTGTATTTATTTCTTCATATAGTTCATATGTATTCTATTCAAAATGAGATTAATTTAAAAAATTCTCGATTATATTTTCTTACTCTTTCGGGAGACGAATTTACTATATTGAGAATAGAAAACAAATATTAGATAGGGATAAATTTTATTTAAATCTTACCATTGGGTATTGATCTTGTTCGTTTTATGAATTTTGTATCGTGATGTTGTGTTTGATTATCAATAATAAAACCCTGAAATGAATCAAGACAATCCTTATGTTTATTAAGAATACGAAAAAAGCAAAAAGAGAAAAAATTGCAACTCAAACACGCACATATAGAATAGAAAGATTGTTAGTGTCGTATTTATGACATTGACAGTTACAAACATCTTAATACAATCTTTCGCCTTTTTTTTTATCGTCGTCTTACTATACGAGTAAAAAGAGAAAAAGGGAACTTTTTTCGCATTAGTTTACCACAAAATAGACTGATTGCAAAGAATTACAATAGAACATGAGAAATCATTCATTTCGGGTTTTTTTTGAAGTAGAGATCTCATCTCAAAAAAAGTAAAAGAGAATGAGAAGAGAAGAAAAAAAAACGAAACCTAAAGAGAAATAACATATTTCGAATTCATTTTATATTTGTCAAAAAAAAAAAAACGAAAATTCTTAAAAAATAACACATCACATGACTTAATGATTAAAAATCTATACATACTTGTTTTGAGTGATGATTGTTATTATCGTTTATAACATGTTTCTGTGAGTTTTTATAATCATTTTTTTTCTTTCGATTAATATAACGATGTGTTGATGCTAATAAATAATATACATACAAAAGAAATTATATAATCAATTCATTGATACAATTAAAGAACGAATTGATTAGGGCTTCTCTCTTTTACGAAAACAACGGACATATAGATGATAAAGTGAAAATGTTTCGAACTCAACCGATTCCTTTTGTTGTACGATATAGACAGACCAATTTTAAAAATACATCAATAATACCAACATTTTCTTTCAATCTTTCGTTCTCTTTCTGTAAGTAGGATCAAACCGAGAAAAAAAATGAAGTCAACAAGGTGCGTAGACGGTAACGAACAGTATTATTTGTTCATCGAGATTCATTCTCTCTATGGTTATATTGAGAAGAGGATGAAAAAATCAGGAGTACATTTACAGACTAAAAAAAGATTATATGTATCAATGGTAACTATTCGATACTGATGCTATGGTTTTTCTTTCTATCAATAAATATAGATGAGAAATAGATAATAATCGATTAATTATCATATAAGATAAATTGAATGTACATGTGAGAAAATTACTTGTTAAAAATGTTCATGTAATCTGTTAAACAAGGATTGAAAATTTAAGTGATTTGGTTTCTTCGAGTGAATAAGTGAAAATTTCAAGTAGGACAAACAAAATGTACAATTATTGCATAAACGTAGAGATTTTCTTTCTTCTACTCATTTTAATATGATAATTAGTGAAATAATGACAAAGAAAAAGAATTTTTCTCTCACTTATCTTCCGATATTTATGTTATCTATTTCAATGACTAATACCTTCAGATTTGACAATTCTCAGATTGATTTATAACAGACGTAATAAAAATGTTCTTGTGTACAATATCTCGTTTCTATTGAATTATGATATGGAAAAGAGAAGAGAAGAATTTATATAATCATTTTCTAATCCTTCAACTCCAAGCATTTCTTATAGTAACTTGGATTTTTGTAGAAAAATCCAGGAGTGACAGATAAATTTCGTCGAGCTCTATCAGATGGTGCATCTTTTTCACAAAAACTCAAATTTTCTATAGGAAATACTTGGACATTTATATGTATCGCCGAAAGGCAAAGGATTAGTTATAAGTTCTTCAATATCTAACTTAATTAACTAGAAAATTTTGTTGAGGATTATCGGAAGAATAATTTTTTAAGATTTCCATAACTTTTGTTTTGTTTAAAGCATAAAAGCAAAAGAAAAAACGAAAATTTATAAACACAAACCCATCAATTCAATATGTGCTTTAAGTACATTCATAAGAGCATCTAACTTAAAATGATTAATAGATTGAAATTTCTTAGAAACAAATACGATACAAACCATTAGCTTCGTATAATGCAGATATGGGTACTTGTTCATCTGATGTTTCCACTTCATCACTATATCCAACATCCTCATCATAATCTGATGAATGTGAGGCAGATTCAGATGATTGATTATAATAATATTGCAGATTATCTATTTGAATTGGTGAAAATAATGAATCATCAAGACCAGTTACAGCTCTCGTAGAACCAAGTGAATGTGATAATGATGATGACATATTTTATTTATAAGTATCAATCTAAAATCACATTGATAATTCAAAATATTTCATTGATGGAAAAGTAAATCTATCACTATAAACGAACTACATAGTTTTTAAAAAAAGAAAATATTATTGGTAAGTTTTGTGGAATAGAAGATTAATGGACATCTTATCCTAGGAGATTTACGAAATGTGACAGTTTTACTTTTTTTTTCTTACATTATTGCCAATTTCTTTCATGTGACATAATCTTAACTGAAGTTGTTTTTGTTCTTATCGTGGATAATAAGAGTAAAATAAAGCAAACATTTCTTACTCGTCGAGACCTTTAATTAAACATAGAAAAGAAAACGAATCAAAAATAAATGATAATTAATCATGGAAAACGTCAGTTTTAATATGAACAATTCATTGAAGTAAATAATATTTTTTGTCGTTTGATTTTTGAATTTAGACTTATATATATATATGTATGTGATAAATGAATTTATAGGTCTAGACGTGATTGAAATTTTTTGTTTTGATATGAAAAAGTGAAATATTTATATAGGTTTCATTAATAAGCTCATTTCAAGGTATTAGATGCCAGAGAAATACAAAAGTGCTCGTATTTATCAACAGTAAAGATGTTATTTTTATCAGACATGTTAAATATGTTGAGTGTTTAATTGCAATATATAATATGAACATTGTGAAAATTATTTTACTTGTTCATTTTTATGCAGTTTGAAATTGTGTAAAAATCGATACTTTAGAAATATATTCAATTCTTCTATTTTTTTTCAGAAAAATAAATATCCATAGAAAAGTAAGTTGAAATTTCTTCTTGTATATTTTACTCCTATCATATAATAAAATATAAAATTCTGTATTATTATAGAATCGAGTGATGTACGATTTTTCAAATATTCATTTAGCTCACCTTGTATTAAATATTGTCGAGCCATATAAAAACTAATCATTATCATCGAATTAAATATTACCTTTAATTTTAGATATCGTTCGTTGTTGTTTTTTACATTGGCTATAATTCATAGAGGGAAAAAAATCAATAGTTCCAGAAACGTTTTATTTAGTGAATCTTTTATTATATTGTAAAGATTTATCCCTATTCAAGTGTTCTTTACTTTTTATACCGTTCCTTTTCAAATCAATATGCATAGCTTTGTTATCTAAAGCATTGCTCATAGATTTTATTGAAGTTTGTAAGCATGTGATAATCAAATATACACTTTAGTAAAATTCTTTTTTTTTAATGTTAACAGTTAAACAATATGCAAAGCACACAAAATTCAGTAATAAACACGCGTAAATAGTTAGAATAAGTAGAAGAAAAACAAAACAAACAATATATCTTTTTGTTTTATTTCCCCATTTGAAAACATTCATAAATACGCACTACAGAAACAAATAATATAATGTTATCCTATGATATAGAAGAACAAAAGAGACAGAACAAGAAAAAAAATTGAATTTTATTTTTTTTATTTCAAATGTTTGATTATTTTCTATGATGAACGATGACCATCGGCAGTTGTAGTTCGTGCATAATCATCATATATTTTCATTTGTCGATCAATCATCTGTTGGCCACGATGTGTTGCAATAACTTGCATTAATTCCGGGCAATTTTGTTTTGTTGCAACATCAACAATACTTTCTTTTTTATCATTTATCCAACTTATTTCACCTCCATTTCTTAAGAAAAACAAATTTTGATTTCTTTGCTGTTTTAAAAGCAGACTTGTTAAAATAAAACACTTACTTTAAAAGAGTTTTTAAGGGTTCAACACCATTATATCCAAGTAAACAACATTCATGCAAGGCCGTATTACCACGTCTGTAAGAAAAAAAGAACCGAAAGAATTAATTTACATTTCGTTACTACACATATTAAAATAACGTTTTCTTTTTTCTAAATCAAGAAATTTAATAAAATGCAAATAAGAAATTGAAAATTGAAGTGAAAAGTTTACGGTTACTATTTAAATAAACCTTGAACATATTTATTTATTCTTTATAAAGAAATTCAATTTGTCAAGTAGTCAAATTCGGCAACAAATCATGGCCGATTTTTTCTCAAGTATGATTCAATTATTAAACTATATATATATTGAAATTTCTTAACTTACGGTCCTCTTTTATCTAATTGAGCTTTGCCAATTTTAATCAATGGTTCCAAACATTCGTTATGACGATTACGTACAGCCAATTGAAGAACGGTAAAACCTTCTTTATTACGTAAATTTGCATCGGCACCTTCTTTCAATAATTGTTTCACTTCTTCTAATACATCAACACGATTCGAAGATTTTTTATTATCGTCACCACCTTTTCTTTCAAGTAATTTTAATAAAGCTCGATTTGGTTGCTAAATAAATTAATAAATAATAAAATATCTATTAAATTAATCTATTTATTCTTACACTATCACTACCAGCAGCACTAGCTGATTGTGGTCGTTTTTTAGGACGTCTTTTGCCTTTCGTTGATTTTGTTTTTTCTCTAGTATATTCATCTAATTAATAAATACAAAAAAACTAATATTAATTTAACAATAGATATGCATAAATAACTCTACCATCTGAATTAAATGTACTAGAAAATGTTGAACTTCGTTCACTATTCATTGCATACTGTCCAATTGTTTCATCAATATAAAAAGCCGATTGAGAAAGATTCTCTGGTTTACGAAATACAGCTTGAACTGTTACTTGATATTCATTTTCATGTACATTTGCATGAATCATTTTACCCATACGAGGTTCACCTATATAAATTAATGTAAATAATGTTCTTCAATATAGAAAATATTTTTTAAAATTCGGCTCAAACAACAGTGATCTATATCAGTATATCAAATCATTTCTCTTTTATGTTAAGAATGAATAACTCAACTTTAATATTTTAAGAGATTTTTAAGAAATAGAAGTTATGTGAATTTATCTATTACCGATTAGTGATCGAAAATCAGGTCGATTAACCGCATATGCTTTTAAATGAGCACAAACATGATCCATTTGTTGTCTCCAATAACCTTTTCCTGGACTAACAGCTGTTAATATTGGTCGACGATCTTTAAATTCTTGATTTGCTTGTAATGTCCTATTTTGTGCAATCAAAATATCGATGTCTTTTGCACTTGGATAATAAATTCCATGTGTTTGCGTTGTAGCTTCACTCTTTGTTATCAAATAAGGTTGACGATAATGACTAAATGTTGCATTAGCATTCAACCATGTTGGACTAGCCGAATGACGTGTTAAAGTCTGTAGCAAAAAAATTTAAAACAAACTTTATTTCTTCTATATTCAAAAAAAAACGTTTTTACTTACACCAGCCAGCATTCCTGGTGTTGAAATATTCAGATCATTTCTAAGATTCGCATCAATAACACGTAATGGTGGTTCAATAGTACAACCACATGTTAAACAAAACTTTGCATATGGATCATTTTCTGCACGACATTTTGTACATTGTATTGGTACAGATGCTCGTTCTGGTTGTGCACCGCACCAATCACAATAACGAGCATCGGCATTATTTAAACGAAAACATTTTGAACATGTCATCATTGTTCCTGTTGCTTTAGGTGCCAATGGAATCGAAACTGTTGCTTGAACTTGCTATTATTATACAAAGAAAAAAAAAGTTATCAGAATAATCCTATTCAACCAATATCTCTCAAGAGGAACGTGAAATAGCGTATATAAATTTTTACTCATATAGTGCATCACTTCTTTTAGTATATATTTTTAATAAAAGATATAAATATATGTATATTTACTGGTGATGTACTTGGCATTAATTTACATTCACAAATAATACATGTTCGTAAATGTGTTGGATTTGTTGCTTTGCATTGTGGACATAAAATTTTTGTCTTAAAATAAAAGAATCTTATTTCTTTTTTTTTCTTAATTAAAATAAAACCTGATTTTGAACATTAATTCGATGTTGATATTCAGGTGATAATGGAGTTTCACAAACTACACATATACTTGAATTAAATGGAACTGTTGATTTACAATTAGCGCATGTACCAAGCTAAAAAAAAGAAAATAATTGATAAATTTTATAAAAAATATTTTTATATTATTGATTACTGAATGCCCATCTGGTTGATTTAATCGAGGTTGATTAAGTGTAACATTTTGCCATGGAAGCCCACATTCAGTACAAAATCGAGCATATAAATCGCCAGTTCTTGGTGCAAAACAATGAGCACAACTGAAAATAATGAAATAAAATCAAAAATTTATTGATTCGATTTGTTTTATTGACAAACCGAAGAAAATCTGTTTGTTTTTGAAGACGACCTGCTTGTGCTTGAGCATCAGGAGGTGTATGACGCGGTGGTTTTTCTTGTACAAATGACTCAGCAGCTGAACGATGCATTGATTCTAATAAATAGATAGTAAGAAAAAACTTAAATCGATTTTTTTTGTTTTATTATACCAGCCAATTTTTGTTGCATTTGTTGATTTTCATCTTGAATTTTTCGTATTAACTCCTATAAAACGGATCAATAGATAATAATCATGATATATTTGCTCTATCATCGATCATTGCATATTTAAAGATTTTATTATATAACTTATAGTTCAATGCTCGTTTCTATGCACACGTCAAAGTTCAAGTTTTTTTTTACTTCCTGCATTATCAATAGATGTATGTAGTTGTTAATTATTTATTTATCAATCTGCCTACTTCCTGCGGAAATCAGTACTATTCGTTTGAAATAAACTCGATATGAATTGTACAGATGTATGAACTTTATTTTTTTTTAAATATTCGAATAAAAAATGAATATTTACGACATAGAAAATTTTTCGTTTTATTTCGCGTAGATAATAAACGATTCTTTTTTTTATTACGATATAAATTTTATCTTTCGAAATTGATAAATAAAACTAACGTTTTTATTATTCCTGAATTCATTACAAAAATCAATCGGTTTTTTTTACTAATAATTATTTATGTATTTTCTAACCTTTCTTTCTTGTTGTAATTCATATACGAATCTATTTTCGTTTTCATCCATTGGTGAATGATCTGTCTCAATAACTTGTACATCAAATTTTTTTGCTACGACGACACTTTCTCGGATTCCGTCTCTAAATAAATAAATAAAACAAACAAATAATAAAATTATATTATTTTTAATTATTTACTTTGATACAGCGACTGCTTTAATTGTTACTTTTCCTGCCTGAACCATATGCCTTGGTATATAAAATGGTTTTTTATATTGTATAGTAGAACGTCGTGTTGCTAATGTTGTAAACGCATCTGGTTTCGAACCATCTAACGTATAATAAATATCGACATCTTGTGTTTCACTATGAATTTCGATTAATGTATTTGTATTAATAGCGAATTTGTGTGTTTGACCATATTGAGTAACACGTAAAGGTATAATAGAAGGAGCTGATATAGAACCAGCCGTCATTTTTTATCTGCTAATGATTTTTATATTGAAATGAATGTTGCATATAACCATTGTAAATGTTCATCTATCGATCGTTACTAAGTAATATAGAGGATCTATTTGATTGGTAGAATATAAAAACCAATGGATGAATGAAAATTTCGTAAGGAATAAGTTAGTGGATGGATTTTAGTTAAACTACGTTCTAGAACTTTTCTATCGATTAATTTATTTTTAAATATAAATGATAATTAAACTAATAAGATTTATATTAATTATTTAATGTAGAAAATTATTTTTATAGTTTTAGAAATGAGTGATGATGCACTTTTCGATATCTTCGATCAAGAAGAACCCAGTGCTATTGTTGAATTACCTCAAAATGCAGAGATCCTTGAACAAACAACAACAATAAGGTAAGAAAAATTATAGATTGCTTCCATGAAGATAATATTCATTTTTTTATTTAAGAAAAGGTAGTAATGGTGATACAAATGCCGTAGATAAACGTTCATGGGAAGATGAAGATGATGATGATGACATACAAGGAGATTCGAATTCAAAACGTAGTCGAACTGAACCAATAACTGGAACTGGACAGTAAGAGAACAGAAAAAAATTCATCAATTAATTTGAATATAATTTTTAGTTTTTTTGATAATGTTCAACGAATGAAAGTTCATACTGTTGAAACAATAGAATCATGTGTACATGAGGTTTATTCTTTATTAATTTCTTTTTAAATTTTTAAACATTATTTTTTGTAAATTAGGTTGTTTTACCACCAAATTCTGATTATATACCATTAAAACCACCAGTTGGTCCACCAGCAAAAGAATATAAATTTACTCTTGATCCATTTCAACGTGAAGCTATATCATGTTTACAAAATAATCAATCAGTACTTGTTTCAGCTCATACATCAGCTGGTAAAACAGTTGTTGCTGAGTATGTTTAATACTTACTATTCTTTTTTTTGGTCATAAAATCACGTTTTTTTTCTTTTGTGATTAGATATGCTATTGCAATGGCATTACGCGATAAACAACGTGTTATATATACAACACCTATCAAAGCTTTAAGTAATCAAAAATATCGTGAATTACAAGAAGAATTTAAAGATGTTGGTCTAATGACTGGTGATGTTACACTTAATCCATCAGCATCATGTCTTATTATGACAACAGAAGTAAATATTTAATGAATGAAGATTACTTATAGAAATTTTCTATTTTCTAGATTCTTCGATCAATGCTTTATCGTGGTTCAGAAATAACTCGAGAAGTTGCTTGGGTTATTTTTGATGAAATTCATTATCTTCGTGATAAAGGTATAGACAAATGATAGAATCTTGTATTTCTATTTTTCTTTTATTATTATTATTTTTAAGAACGTGGTGTTATTTGGGAAGAAACTATTATTCTTCTACCTGATAATGTTCATTATGTATTTTTATCTGCTACAATTCCAAATGCAAAACAATTTGCGGAATGGATTTCTTTTCTTCATAATCAAGTGCGAAAAAACCACAAATTTAATCATTTTTAAGAAAGAATTGTATCAATAAATCTATATTTTAGCCTTGTCATGTAGTGTATACCGATATGCGACCAGTACCACTTCATCATTATATTTATCCAGCTGGTGCTGATGGGCTTCATTTAGTTGTTGATGAAACGGTACTTTCCTCTAATTCGATATAAATATTTTATTGCTAATTTTATTAGGGAAAATTTCGTGAAGATAATTTTAGCGCTGCTATGGCAACATTACGTGATGTTGGTGATGCAGCAAAAGGTGATAAACGTGGACGACGTGGTGGTTTTAAAGGTGATTAATCGATCTTTTCTTTCACGTAAAAATTAAAATTTTTATTTAGCTGAAACAAATGTTTTTAAAATTGTTAAAATGATAATGGAACGAAATTTAGCACCCGTTATCGTTTTTAGTTTTAGTAAAAAAGATTGTGAATCATATGCATGTGCTATATCTAAACTTGATTTTAATTCTGGTTAGTAAAATAATAGTAAAAAATTTCAAATTCAAATTTTTTTTGATTTTTATCTAGACGATGAAAAAAGACTTGTTGAAGAAGTATTTAATAATGCAATTGATCTTTTATCTGATGAAGATAAAAAATTACCACAGATTAATACCGTATTACCATTATTAAGAAAAGGTGTAGGAATTCATCATTCAGGTTTATTACCAATTATTAAAGAAACAATTGAGATATTATTTGGTGAAGGTCTTATTAAAACATTATTTGCCACAGAAACATTTAGTATGGGTTTAAATATGCCTGCTCGAACAGTTTTATTTACAGCTGCAAGAAAATTTGATGGAAAAGAATTACGTTGGGTAAATAAATAAAAAAATTATTATTTCAAATACAAGTTTTATTTTAAATAAAGATAACATCAGGTGAATATATACAAATGAGTGGTCGAGCTGGTCGTCGTGGAAAAGATGAACGTGGTATTGTTGTTTTGATTATTGATGAAAGAATGAGTCCAACAACAGCAAAGGAAATTGTTAAAGTATTGAACAAAAGTTTTTTTTTCATTTCTCTTTTTAATCTATATTAAATTTATTATTATTAGGGCAAAGCTGATGCTTTAAATAGTTCATTTAAACTAACATATAATATGGTGTTAAATTTATTACGTGTTGAAGGTATCAATCCAGAATTCATGCTGGAGAGATCATTCTATCAATTTCAACATTATTCAACTATACCCGCACTTCATGAAAGTAATGATTATATATATATTAAATTGATTTGAGGGGCTGATTTGAATTTTTTAGAATTGAAAAAATGTGAGCAACAATATGAATCACTTAAAATTGAAAATGAAGAAGAAGTTGCAAGATATTATAAATTAAAAAAAAAACTTGAAAATGTTCAAGATCAAATGTCAGTTATGATTAATGAACCAAAATATCTATTACCATTTCTTCAACCAGGACGACTTGTTACAGTAAGTAATCTCTCAGCCAATGTTTTATCCAAGTTCCTTTTTTCGAGAGGGCGGAATGAAAATTCTGGGTGGGCGCCGCCCGCTAGATAAAACACTGCTCTTAAATGTACTTCATAATTCTCAAACGTTAAAAAAAAGAGTATTGATATCTATGAGTCAGTTTGAATCTTTGTTCGGATTCAACTGATAAATTCGATGATTTCGCATTTATACAGAATAGTTTACATGCATCCGTACGCTATTTTTGCAATATCTATACTCTTTGTATGTTGAAAATAAAATCTAGGATAATTGTACTTCCTCTTGGATAGATTGTCTAGAAATTATTCTTCGATTTTTAAGAGAAAAAAGTAATATATTTAAAATTAATTTAATTTAAGGTTAAATATGGTGATTTAAATTTTGATTGGTGTGTTGTACTTAATTTTCATAAAAAAGCTGGTGAAAAAGTATGTATTTTCATTTCTTTTTCTATTTTATTATTATCTCGAATATTGTTTTTAGCCGACATATACCATCGATGTTTTAGCACATTTAACATCCGACAGTGCTGTACAAAAATCTACAGCTGATTTACAACCGTGTCCTTTATCCGAAAAAGGCGAAATGAAAGTAAGATTTATCTTTTATTTCATTTATTGAAAAAAATCAAAAATTTTAAAGGCAATTCCAATTCAACATACATTAATTCGTGATGTTAGTGCAATACGTGTTTATCTACCTGATGATTTACGAACAAAAGAAGCACGTCAAAGTGTATTAAAATCTGTTCAAGAAATCAAACGACGTCATCCACTTGGTTTACCATTACTTGATCCAATTAAAGATATGGATATAAAATCGAGTGAAATATTAGCATGTATAAAACAATATTCAACATTACAAACACGACTTAATGAACATCCATTAACAAAAAATCCTGAATTAAAATCACTTTATGAACAATATGAACGTAAAGCTAATATTGAACGACAAGTTTTAGAAGCTAAAAATGATTTAAAAAAAGCTCAATCATTATTACAAATTGGAGATTTAAAAAAATTTAAACGTGTTTTACGTCGCTTAGGTTATTGTAATTCAGCTGATGTTATTGAATTAAAAGGTCGTGTTGCATGTGAAATTGATACAGGCGATGAACTTGTTACAACAGAACTTTTATTTAATGGAATATTTAACGATTTAACTGTTAGTCAAGCATGTGCTTTACTTAGTTGTTTTGTTTTTCAAGAAAAAGCAAATGAAATGCCTAAATTATCACAAGATTTATCCGGACCATTAAGACTTATGCAGGTTTGTATTACATTATTAATAAAACAAAAAAAAATCAATAAAATTTCAGCTGAGTGATATTTGCGTTTTGATATCAAATTAATCTATTTGAGATGTTAATATGTACAAAGTTCAAGAATATGATTTATTCGAATACTTGAAGTCTTTTTCAAATAGACATGAAAAATATTCGATTACTTAGCTAGCTAAATCTCCGCATAAAATACTAGACAAAATCTATTAGTAAACATCTTATCGAAATTGGAAGCAAATATGTATATGGCGATTATCATATTGATGATTTCTTTGATTACCATTGACATAGAAAAACAAGATAACTGGATTATAAACATTTTAATAATTGAAAATTGATTGCTATGACAGAAATAGATTTGCATAAGAATGATTATCCTAATTTTTTTGCTCATTATGATATCATTTTGTGAATGAAATTTTTTAATGAACGATAGAGTTTTTGATGCATGGCGACATACTAATTCTGTGTATCGTGTCTATTTTTATTTTTAAACGAGAAGGACTTTTTTTTTTAAAAATAAGATATTTTTTTTAGAAGTACTCTTTAATGTCATCTTGAATACATTGAAAATAAAGCATTTCTAAGTATTATTTTTAATACTTAATTGCATACCTTAATGAAAGATTGAAATGTCCTTCATCTATATGACTATTTTTATAATTTCTAAATCAAGAAAAACAATAATATAATGTTTTTCTATAAAAAAAATATTAAGTAAAATATGGAAAATTTCT